TTTAAACTAAATTGAGCCATGCATAATAATAAACTTTTACTGACATGCAGAACAGCATTACTCCGTTTAAATAGAAGCTGCAGTCTTTACATGTTACTATAGTGCTCTCTGCTGTTCAATACCCACTTTACACAGCACGGCAGGGTTTAAAATGTGCTGCCATTCATGGTGTGCTTAAAGAAGACCTCAGATTCCACATACAGTATGTTATATCTCTCCTTAAATGTTCTAAATCTTATAACAGTCTAAATCCACACACTTGAGAAAAGCATACCTGGCTTTAAATTATTCACAATTTAACAACTTAAGGTATATTTTGTTCTTAATTGCAGGATGTAAGATATTAAACAGCACTTGTATTTTAAATTGTTTTCTTTAGATGCTTTAAGATCATTTTAAAGGGTGGAGTGGTGCTTAGCTCGGGTATACCTATGCTAGTTGTATACAGGATATCACATAACTGGAAGCCTGCAAGTTGCATTTTTGGTTTCTTCACACTATGTTTAAGCAGAGAAGTAATAGGAAAGTTGCACTAGAAACTCTCGAGAAAATTGCTTTGTTGTGACTCATCTCAGAATTGCTCTTACAACCTTCTCTGAGCCCAGGCAGGGATGCTAGAACGCTAGAGCAATCTCTGACCTGGATCCAATAACTGAGCAAAATGTGTGCTGCTGACAAGGTTCGCAGAGTTAAACAACAGTCTGAACAGGAACTGAAAGTAGGTGATCAGTTCCTCATCTTCTTGTCTGGGTTTGAGTGGCAGCCTCTAACAGGATCCATTAAAGAAAAGAACTATAATGAATCAAAAGAGCAGGTGCATAAGGAATTAGACAAGCCAAGAATGAGAGGGCAAAGAATATTGTGATATGATATTGTGAAATGATCAAAGGTTTTACGATTTTACAACAGCAGAAGAAAAGTAAAGGACAGAGTTAATACTAATATACGAATTTGAAAACTCTAGATGAGAGATCCCCACTTCTGCTTTTCTTTCCTATTGGGTAAACTGGTCCATAATTAAACTCTTAATTAACCTTTTAATTAAATTAATTTCAGATCTTTGTTTTCAGTTCATAAACCCGTTAGAGCTTGCCTTATACTGTAACTAGTCTTTCTCATGTGTAACTTAAGATCTGCAGTTTCTGAGCAGATAAAAAAAAAACATGCAAAGGTCCCAATCAATCAACTTATTAGTTCAATTAAGAATTCAATTAGGCAAAGAGCTCAGCTGGGCCAGGAGCCAGCAGGAATAAAGAGTTTCAGAACCAGGATTGGGAAACCCTGTTCCAGTCAATGAAAGTCTAATTATTTTGGTTATGGAAACAATAGATGTTCCCCACAGGACATCAACAAAAGTCTTCCAGGAAACTCAAGACAGAAGTAATACCCATTGACAGAAAAATTGCTACTGAAGTGCTCCATAAATATAGTTACAAAATTAAACCTTAGCAAAGTTTCTAGACAAAGTTATGGAAACAATCATTAGAACCAAATATGAGAATCATCTGTGTGGTAACAATATTCTAGGTAATAGTAAACATAGACTTTGAAAAGATAAGTCTTGTTTAATTAATCTTTCAGTTTTTTAACAATAAACAAAAGTATTGGATACAAACAGATTATGTATGTTATATTTCAAATTTCACAAGGCATTAAATAGAGTTTCTCATAATAATTCTAAAATTATTATTAATCACTGTAGGTGATAGTTGATCGAGTTAATGTTTGTACTTGCAATAAGAACTTGTAAATCGATAGAAAATGAGTACAGAAAAGGAGTGGGGAGATACACACTGTAATTACTGGTGTACCACAGGAATCAGTATTAGGACACGTGTTCTTCATAATTTGTATCAGTGATCCAGATTCTAGTTTAGTTAGTAAATGAATAACATTTCCAAGCTGCAGCTGCAATTCAAAAGGACACAGGGCAAACACATGGCAGATGATTGTTAATACTGACAAGGGCAGAGTATTGCATGCAGGTAAAGGGTATAATTCTGAATATAAGATGGAGAACATGTAAAGATTCATTACATGCTGAAAGGCAAAGGAGATGCTTTGGTCTTGAACAGAGAAGACTATGAGGGAAGACGATTGAAATATTTAGAGTCCCCAAATGGATTTCAGGTTCAACAGTAAAATACAAACCAATTGAAGAGAGAGGAAAATCTGGTGCAGACAACGTAGGCATAAGAACAAAAACACAGATAATGGCAATTAATAAATGAATTCAAATACTGAAAAGTGAACATTAAAATAAAAACGTGAACTACAATGACTGAAGTGGCATGCATGGAAGTTTTTAGAGGAAGTGTTAGGGGATTTATTTGGATACCATTACTTCACACAGAACAATGCATCACGTGTGGAGTAACCAGTTCTGCAGTAGAAATAAATGATCTAAATAACTGAATCTAAATACATTTACAGTAGATTCAATAAATATTGTTTGTATTTCCATTTCCATGTCCTGTCGGTGGGATAGGACGTATCTTATTTAAACTCATTTGGATCTCGGCTTGTAGTCTGTCAGCAACAGCCAGCTCGAATTGATCTCTATGCTGAAGCTGTGCACAGATATCTTATCCATCTTATCCTTAATCCTAAATCTAAAGCGATGGTATCGCCTGACCAACACCAGCTAGGCCATATCCGAAATGTATAAATCCAAGAAACAACAAAAGGACAAGATCCCAGTTCACACAGCAGGCAATCTGTTCGGCCCTTTTCAAGTGGCAATTAAAGAGTGCCTGATTTCCTGTGTTTGCCTTGTTTCCCTGGTGTTTTAATTATAGAAAGAGGGCTCAGGTAATGAGAACCGGCACAGAGCCCTGCTGATTTTCATATTGGCGCCACAGGAAGATATGACACATGCAGAAAGAAGGACGGAGGAGAACAGAAGCCAAACCAGCCGACTGCTCCTTAACTCCCAGCACCCCTCTTACCTGAGCAGACTCAAATGTCAATTTTTCACTATTATTATTTTGAACGCTGGGCTGTTTGCAACCTCAGACACAGTCAAATTGAAGACGGTGTTAAAAGCCCTGGTTAAAGCTAGCATTTGATTTGAAATTGATGGCAGATGGTTTGTAATAAAGAACATTAAGCTTCTTTATTTAAAGGTCCTGGAACATCCCTACATAAATTCATTTTAGGTACAAGCTGCTATCACTGAATAAAAAAAACACAGTGCTTTTGTTAATCCCTTAAATTATGGTGCAGGTTTCAGCTTAAAGCTGGGGTGTTTCTTGTAGCCTGGAGCTCAGAGCCATAGGTCACACATTAAAAATTAAATTTTATTTTCACATTATTTTAGGAGTGTAGATATACTCAATAATGCAACAACACTGAAGTAAAAAGTAATCAATATTAATACAGATGTTACTGATCTGAAATGTTCTGCAATGTTAATCACCAGCACACTGATACCCTTATAAGGTCCAGTTTTGCTGTGACCTTTTAAGCTGTACTGCAACCACCATATAAATGAACATGGAGACAAAAATCAAGCAGACAACATAGAGTTACAGTATAATTCAGTATCCCAGTATTTACCTATATACTGTATGTTAATAATTGTCATGCATGTATTTGTCTCAGGTATTCTTTAGTAAACTGATTCTGAGTGTCCCAGGTCATGATCATCATTCTTCTCAATAGACCAGAGACTTGTCTTCAGCAGACTCACTGCCCACAGGTTCCCAGATGAATGCATTTCTGCCAGTCTTTGCAACAAAGGTCACAACATAGACCCTTCAAGCAGTGTGTGGATTAGACACAGTTAATGTGAGTGAGAGGACGAACGCATAATCGGGTTTTAAACCATTCGTTTCTGCTTTGGACGATAGTGGGCAGCAAATCACTTCCACTCTGCCAGTGCTGAAAAAGAATTGCCCCCCCCCCAATCTAGCCTCACAGCCCTGGCCTGCTGCCTGCTTGGCTATACTCAGGAATGTCTGAGCTGGGGTTGCGGGGGAGGTTTAACAACCTGGGCAGCTGCTGCCTCTGAGAATCCAGCTCATCAGCAGGGCAGACAGGTGATGACCATTCATTCCTCTGCCTCTGTCAAGGGATTTGTTCAGAATTCCACACCACACCCACTGCACAGTGATCACTTACACCCCAGGAAATGGAAGAGTTGAATTTCTCACAGACCCGAACACAGACAACACAATCTGACTCTTTTATATTTAATGTTTGGCGAATTCTGGCCTCCTCAACTACCCATTACACACCATAAAGACATAATAGCTAGCCAAGTTTTGGGATACAGGTACCCATGCCACATTACCTGCCACAAAATTCAACTGATGTACAATGGGCTGCCATATCTGTTCATTCCTTCTTATTTGGCATGAGGTGAGTATACACTATGGATCATATATTCTCCTCCTTCCCTCCCTTTCAGATATCAGGCTTCATAAGTAACCTCCATGTGTCACCGAACCTACTGTATTTCTTACCCTCGACAGTAATTGTTGATGTACAGTAGCAGGTTAATTCCTTAGACATTCAAGTTCGAATCCGGAAGTGAAAGAGAATGACGGGCCAAAGATTGACTGGCACAACATATTAGCTCCCTTCACACCTACTAAGAGCAAATAAATAATGATAAAGGACTTCAATTCAGAGTTAGACATTTTTAAATATGCCTAAAACAATAACAAATGTTTATACAAAGCAGAAAGACCACAAAGGTTTGTATTGGAGGGGTAGCTCAGCTAAATACACTCAACAGAATTGGTTTTCGTCCTCTTGGCCCAGGTTTTAAAGCCAGGAGAGAATTCGGCGTAGTTTCGCCGACGTGACAATCAGCCTGGAAAGTGTTAAATGCCGCCAGCCCCCTACTGCCCTGCGGGCACTGCTGCTATCTGACCTTCAGCGGGTTGGCTGGCTCTTTGCTGGGACCAGCTGCTCTTCCTCCGTCCCCCTCTCTGTCTCTCCCTGCTCCTTCCCGAAAGCATCACACCCCCCCTCTCCGCCCTGTGTATGTGTCAGGGGGCTAATATTTCAGCCCTCCCATGCACTCTCTGCACATGTGCTGTCAGTCACTCGCCACATTGCTTTCTTTTCTTTTTTTAGAGCCCAGTCGGGGACTCGTATACAAGACCTTTCATTCCACCCTGCTTTTGTTAGAAAGTTTGTGTGCCCCTTGGACAGTTTGGCTTGGAGAAATCGGATGGTTTAAGAACAACTCAGGGACACACAGGAGATGTCGTCCAAGGTGTTGGCGGGGCTCTGTATACTAGTGGCTGTTGTCTGCCAGGTAAGGACATGTTGAGGTTTCCTTCTTGTGGACTTTATGCTTTGCAGTCTATTTCTATCTTGACTCTTGGATGTGAGAAACACCACTGAGAGCGCTGAGTTTTGCCGCAGTAAAGAAATCTAGATTGGAGCGTCCGTCTGTTCTCATGTCCAGTTAGGGAGCAGGGTGAAAAAGCTCTAACGATACAAGAAAGGAGGGTAGGTCTAGCTGGTTCGTGTCACCATTAAGTTCAGACTCACAAGACAGGGTGTCTTGGACAGGAATTGCTGTCATAATGAAATAGAAGCCTGAGTACAAAATAATCAGCATGGTTACTGTTTGTCTGAGTAACACATTGTGACTAAAGTAGAGTTCAGTGTTACTTTCTTCCCATTACAGTTCCATTCCATTACCATGATCTTCCTTAATGTGAGCTAAATTAAAATGAGTGAATATACAGTGTAGGCAAGAATTGCTTTTTTACATTAGTGGGAGCCTAGAATTATTTTTCTAGCCTAGTTTATTTAATTTTACTGGCAATGTCCATATATATAGTATTTGCAGTTTTCCAACAAGTTATATTACTTGGATTTCATTTAAGAACAAACAATTCTGGTGATATAGACAGTGCAGCAGTTAATAAGCAAAGGGTTAGCAGGAGCAACTCTGCAGGAAGATGGAGAGCACATTTCCCTTTGTAAATGTGTTTCTCATGTTATATATCCTTGTAAGCCCTCAGTTGCTGTGACGTCTGTAGATGTTCTGTGGTGTGGAAGTCAGCTTGCAACTCTTGAACAGATACAAACACAATGAATGCAGATGAAAATTGCTGCAACTTTTCTAAATTCACACTGAAATACTGTAGGAAATGCTAAAAATCAATAAACAAGTAACCCACATAGGTACAGATTGTAACAATGGAGTCAAAACAATCAAGCATAAGCCCCACCTAAAAGATTTTGAGAATGCACATGCCTGACATACTGTTTCACTAGAAAAATGCTAAATAAAATCTTTCAAAATATCAGTACTGTTTAGTGCAGTATATAAATATACAATCACAGAAATGTTATAGGGTTTTATGTGTATAGGGATTCTTCCCAGGGTCAACTTCTTAAAACTTAAAAAAATCCAAAATGTATAGTTTTAAAAACTAACTTTAAAAAGTGCATGGTGTAACTTAAAAGACTTCTGAATGGTTGCTAACAAAATCAGTCAATAATAGACCTTTTACTGTAAAGTACAGTTGAACAGAAGAAAAGGCAAGGACATTTTTCGCATTCAATGATATATTTCATTAGCATTTTCAAATCACATAGAAAAAAAGAAGATGATTTTCATTGCGGTATGATGTTACCAATCAAACAGTTTCTCACAAAACCTGTATGCAAAAGTGCTTTGATTACATTTTATTTTGCAAAAGAAGCTGTTTTTTGTACCACGTGAACTAAAAATATCTAAATTGAGGAGTGTGTGGAACAGAAAAGCTTAATCAGCTTGTTAGTGCTAGCATGGCCCTTCGAAGAGAGTGTAGCCCAGTAACAGTAAGACATTATCACTTACTGTATATGTCTCAATAAGATCATTCTCACACTCAATCTGTGAAAACCAAGAGTGCTCCAAAAGACTGAGCGTCTGTTCCATATTCAAGCAGTAGAAGAAATCTTCCAATTTCTGTCTGCAGACAACAGTCTGAAACTAATGAGGCCTCAACACCCTTATTAGTCTCTTAGAAAAATCTAAAGAAACAAGAGCATGAAATGGAAATTTGTGCTCAAGTTGAGGAGAACCCTTGAAACGCTCTGGTATGCAGCAGCTGTGTCCAGTTGATGTAAATGAATTTGGTGTTTGGTCGGCACATTAATCCATCGTGGTGATTGAGTGGCTGCACACTCTCCAGGCCATGAAATCTAGAGTAAATCCAGCTCTGAAACACTTGGCTGTTGCTACTGAAGACAAAACAGCTTCTTCTAGTTGCAGAACGTCTCGCTGTACTGGGTTTTCTGCTGTGTGTCCCTTTTTTCTGTTATTGTTTTAGTGGGTTATTGGGAAACCCATTACATGGCACATTAAAAATGCCTGGTTCCAAGCACTGTCATGGAATGGAACAAATTGTGCATTCTCTTACTTGACTTCTATCCTATTTGTCTTGTGTTCTTTATTAGAACAGTGGTGGACATGCGCTACAATACAGCAGGTCCCAGAGATCATCTCAAATCCTCATAAGGTGAAGCCAACATAGTTTGTACTGTAACTAATTGATGCAAAGACCCCATACAGCAAAATCTTAAAGGGAAGCCGTGGTGTCAGCTTAGACAACATGTTTTCATCTCCCACAACCCCTTGTTTAAAGAAGTGCCTCCTGTTCCCATCTTTCGTTTTCACTTACGTCTTCTGGTTTGTGCTTCACTGAGGCCTAGTAGCTACATTTGCCAATTTGAACTATTAAATCTGTGGAAACCGATAGATACGGATATGATTTTCAAGTGTGATGAAAATCTGAAGACCCCTTTGTCCTTTAAGTGTAGTGAGTTATAGTGTGATAAACATTCTCAGTGATTGTGTTGCTTTATTTAATTTAAATTTGGCAGTTAACAACGGAGGTGGCATCTGATGTTCCCAGTGTCTGCTGCCCTTCAAAAGCCCTTTTGAGAACCTATTAACAAATACAGCACTCAAGGCAGAGACTTGTTCAGAGTATGTATAAAAGCTCAATAAGCAAGTAATGAGCTAAAAACAATATTAGAACACCAAGGAGAGGTTAATTCTGCATTGAAAAAAAAGTTTCAGCTGTTGAGCTGTCTTTAGGTGTGAGAAAATGACTGTGCCCCTGAGATGTCCTGAAAGACAAAACCAGACCAGTGGAAACATTTATAGTTATAAGCTCTTAACCTATTGCATCCAAACCTATTGTAATAAGAGCATTAAAAAGGGAAATTCAGAAATGAACATATATGGCGAAATGTTTCAAATTAACTGCTGTAAGAGACATGTGTCTTTACTCTTTAGTCCACATCAGCATTACAGGAGACCCAGGAGATGCTTTCCTGAGACCAATAGCTATGGTTCTAGTTCTGTAGGGGAACTGCTAACCTAAGCTCTTCCAAAAACCCAAGTTAAGATTAAACTTTTTTCTGCAAGGCATTCTGGATGAGAGCACTCACTAGCTGTCCCCTTGAGCTGTTAGCAAACATGCATATACTGTGCTGTATGTATTGCGTCTGTTCTCTTGACTGAAACTGCTGAAAAAAAGGAGCATGCTATCAGATACCTAAGCCAGAACCTAATCACACCAAGGTCTTCATTAATTGTGTTCTCATCTACAGAAGAACTAGGTCACCCGCCTGCTTCACCCCTCAGAGTGACAAAAAGCTTTCATTGGGAAGCCTTTACTTGTTTAAAATAGAGTAGGGGCTATGTCTATATTTGTAGCACATAACCCACAGTTTGATTTTAAAAATTGTAAATCTAATACTTGTAATGAATATATTTTCCAAAACTAGCAAGAACATGCTTATTCTTCACATAGGCTCCACAAATATAGAATCCTGAATTCTCATTGAGAATTACTATCTCAATATCTATAAGGTAAAAGCTGGTTGTGAAAGGATATTGTTCTGAAAGGTTCTGTGGGTCATTCTAATAACACAGCAGTTAATTAAGGTCATGAAATAACAGTCAGCGAATTCTGTGATCACAAATGAAAATCATTCTACTGAACATAACAATAACACAACATAAATGTAAAAAACTCACACTTATTAAGAAAAAGATTAATTTTAGATTCTTCTAATTTTTCAGATTTGGGTGATACAGCTGTTTTTTTAAAGCCTCATACTTATGACATTTTATAGCTGCAGTAGTTCAGCTTTAAAAAAAAAAACATGCTGAAACTTTCCATTATTAAAAGAATGTCCCATGGTAACTCTTTCAAAGCGCAGTCCTGTTTATTTGAGCTTTACAGAAAGGAACATCTGAGAATCCCACAAATGCCCCCATCCTCACCCACCCTCTGTTTACCCACCTACAGCTCAAACCAACTGACCTAGCCATCTGTGCTGCTCAACTGGAATGTACCACCTTATATAAAGGGGAGGAACGGGGGTGTACTGGCATGTACTAGAACATTATGGATTGTCAATCTTCCCAATACTCCTTTCCGTTCACCCCAGGCCAGGAATTTTAAATATCTATTAAGACATTAAATTATACCGTTTACAGACTTTGCGAAGCCATAACGTGACATCTGTATGCACAATACATACGAGACAAAACAAGTTTGCAGATCAGACTTGATTACATAGCAAGTTTCACAATGAGCTTAATTGCCCACACCTGAGAACAATTATCTCCATCCTGGAGGACACAGTCCTCATGAAGCTTGTGATTAAATGTTAAATGACATAAGCTGCAAAAAATAAGATCTGTGGCCCATTAACCCGGGGTATCTGTGTGTGTGATGGTATAGCTGATTTCCTGGCACTGGATCCAAGTAAAAGTCTAATTGGCAGCCCTTAATCCAACCTTTCTCTGAAGAAAAAACATCTAGCTATAAATTGCATTAAAATAGTTTACTGCACTATGAGTGAAACAATGTACAATTTTAAATTTAATATTTACATTGGTGTGGAATGCTTTTGTTGGGAATGAAACAAACACAGATACTAAAATATGGAATATGCCTTGTATGATATGTTAATACCCAAAATGTCCTTTTACAGGAAAACATCTGGTCTTGTGTTTCTGTCTGAAGTTAACGTATTCCCTCCAAACTAAATTATTGCGGTATGAAGAACTATGGGAGAAAGCTCATGACTGTGTTGTCACAACCCACCAGTTAAAGTGCAGAATCTAGTAGCGAGCATTCGCCTTTGTGCACTCATCAGGGAAATTACAGATTTTAGCCAGACTAAACAAGGAAATATGACAGCTTCTCTGATGTTACTACAGTAGTTATGAAATCTCTTGCAATGCTCTGGATTCTCTTATATTCTTAAAGCAGACTGTCACAGCACCTGGGGTCAAGACTGTATTTTTCCTGGGAGAGCTACAATGTCTTCGAAATTCTAAATACCAATAATCTTATAGCATTTCTACTGTGTGTCATACAATGTCCATGGGTCTGTTGATCTGGAAGTCTTCCAATAATATTTCTGATTTCCTATTTATTATTAAAACAAAATCAGGGAGCTGTTTAACAAGGACCCCATCCTATTCTTTCCCTGCTGTTTTGGGGAACAGGTAAAGAATAGGGCTGGATTTGTTTTAATGTGTTCTTAATTCTGCTATCTTTTAACTAAAAGCTGTATTAGTATTATACTTAAATGACTGAGAATCTCTAAACTGGGCTTCTCACTACAGATAAAGGAAAATAGTCTGTAAATAAAAAAATAGAAAAGCTTCAGTTCCATAGAATATTGTCTGACTTTTTACTACCACTTTTTGAAACGGTAACTTTATATAAGCAATCTTGTTAGCTGAACTGAGCAAGAAAATCAAAATTTAGTGGAATATATAAACCTAAATTTCAAATTCTGCAAAGTGTATTAACACAGGCACACATACCCCAAAGAAGAAACAAATGCTATCACAGCCTGCAATGTAATACACACTGTTACTGTTGTATCGGGAGAAGAATTGATCTTTTAGAGTTAATGCCCTAAATAAAAAGTGAAGGTGGCTGAGAGTTTGTGATGAAGCACAGCTTTTATTTTTTCAGTTCTGAATTACAGCCTATTTTTGCAACACAGAATTAAGTGCTCGCTTCTGCAATTACACTGGGCTGTCTGTCCTTGCCTGCTGTGGCAAGTGTTCAAAGACAGCCATCAGGCTGGGACAAGGAGGGAGGGCTGTCTCATAGTCGCTAAAAACAGTTCATTTCAGTGACAGAAGAGGCAGGTGTGCAGCAAATCATGTAACTCGACAGAGTGTGCAATTCTCATTTGAGCTAATTGATAAAAGGAAACCCAGAGGTAACAGTTTGAGTGAGGCAGTGTCAGTGTCAGAGGGGAGAGACACGACAATCTGTGTGGTCCATCAACCCTCTGGGTCAGTTTCTCTGCAGTTACCTCTCTCTTCATCCCACAGCTACTTGTAAATTTCAATTAGATCTTCAATTCGTCCATCCACTGTCAGATAGCTGCTTGTTCCTGGGCAGGATGACAGCAAGCCGGAGGCAATCTGGAAAGGACACTCTTCACTCTTCACCGAGTGAAGAGCAGCCCTACATCCTCGACAGGATGCCAGGCCAGAGCTGGGCACCTACACATTCACACACTGAACATTTCCAGATACCAATTAGCTTAGACAGCATGTCTTCGGAAGGCAAGAGGAACCTAGAGCACCTAGAGAACACCCACACAAATACCAAACCTTGTAGAATACAGTGTTTGACAGCTCATTTCACAGTGATATTGTGCCTCTTCTCCACCAAATAAGGGCACAGGTATGGCACAACTGCTTGAGGTTAACATGATCAGTTCAGGACTGCAACTGTGGTAATAAAATAATTTCTGGAAAATCCGAACAGGGGTGTGGAGGAATATCACATTCTTTATGCCAGGTTAGATTAACTAATATATTAAATTTCTTGAAGAACGTGAATCTTGTTGGCCTCTTACCCGTGTACACTCGGTAAATCTTTTTCCTTTTTTACTCAAGACACTGTAGTTGTGAATGGCATTTCTGGAGTGTGATGATCTAGGATTAGTCCTTATACTCAGTCTCTACATGCCAGCCATCGCTGGCATTCCTTTGCAGGCGATCAGAGGAATGCCAGCATAGTCAGTTGTGCCGAGCTCTCAGTGGCCAAAGGGACAATTACTAATGAAGATGCCGGTCACACTCGTGCCTCATCCTCACTGCAGCTCTTCAAACATACATTTCCTTCTAGCTTGTAAGAGAAACTGCAAGCTTTGCCGTACTTCGACAAGCATCTTACTGCGTAAGGATACTGTGTAAGGATCCAGAGGGATTTTTTAAGGTTTATTTTTGTAAAACTTACATCCCTTTATCTCTTGCAACACTGTGAAAATTAAACAACCACACTATAATTAAAACTTTTATGACCAAGGAAGGTGAATACTACGTCAAAAGTGTTTCAGTTACTGTATGTTATTTCCAGCTAATTTACCTTTTAATTAAAGTCCATTAACAATGCTAAGTAGCAGTGTAAGATATTCCTCTTTTGCTATAGGAAGGATATAATGTAATTTGCATATTTTTTAGATGCTATTGAAAAAAGAAAAATGATTATGATTTCATCAGAATGTTATGCATTCAGGGTTGCAGTGCACAAGATACAACACCAAACAGATTTTTGTTTTCAAAAATCATGGGAGCACAAGTCTCTTGGGGTGTTACTGACATGAGGCTGTAATCTCACCCTTAACTTTCCTGGGCCTCAGCGCTTTGGAAACAAACTGGGTGTACAGGCTTGCATGTCTTTGTCCGAGAGCGAGCTCCTGGTGCGACAGCTGTCTGGGGTGGATGTGACTGATTCCATGTGTGTGAAACCCAACGCTCATCTCCCCTCCCCTTCACCCCTGCACCCACGCCAAGCTGGTGGATTCCTCATTAGGGACGGGGCAACAGATCAGCATTCCACTAGAAAATGTGGCGGAGCTCCTGTTCGGCCCACAGCATGGTGCGATGTGTTGTTCTTTTCTTACAGGCCCATCTCCCCCAATGTTGCGCACCTTTATCTCGCTAAGTAACAATAGATTGGGCAATAACAACTACAGAAACTAAAAAAGCTTAGCCGTGTTTAGTGGAGCTGATTATTAACCCCCAGAGGTATCTGGTTGTCAAGAGCCACATTTATTATAGGTTTCCTAGTTTTACAAATCCGACAATCATATATGCTTCCATTAATTCATCCATCTCTTGGTCCAAGTCATCCAAAGTTCTTCCGCTACAAATTCTGGAAAGCCTGATAGCCCAATAGCCCAGACAAGGCAAGGGTTGGACACCCCTGGTTCAAGCTACAGGTACAAATAAGACTTCCTGCCAGGAATGCCTTTTTGAGTGAGATCCACCAGATGGCAGTACATTTAAGCCATGTATTATAAAGCAGTTGAATTTTTGAAGCTGTTCTAAGAATCTGTAACGTGCTGTGCGACAGGTCTGGAGCACACCTCACAGGAAGCAGGAAGATCCGAGCATTGCCGTCCTGCGGCCATGGCAACAGAGCACAGAGACAGGAGGCCTCAAGAGGGTGAAGAGAGCCTGGGTCATTCCTCCAATCAACACTCCAGAGAACAATAAGCAAATCCCGAAGCAACTTGTGCAGGTAGCCAACTTCTGTGGGCCTCGGCCCCATGTCGTCTTGGCCTTCGTAGCATCAAGGCAGTGAAAGCCCTTAACAGAATACTCTTGCTGTCATCCTCAGATTAAATCGGATAAACGGGAGCCAGGGAAGGTGATCTATAAACTAGAGGGACCAGGAGTGGACCAGGATCCAAGGGGGTACTTTGAGATTAATGAGAAAACTGGACTTGTCACCCTGAAGACAATGCTCGACAGAGAATCCTACAGCAAGTTTAAGGTAACTTCATGCTCTGTTTTGCCCCTCAACAGTTTGTTTGCACTGCAATTTGCTTATTCACCCCACACATGTGATGTAATGTCACTTCTCGCACAGCCACCTCCTAAAGTTTAGAGTGTCAGTGTGCTAGACCACACTTAGCAGAAACAGCTCTCTGTCAATTTCACCCCTCATGTGGCAAAATACATTATCAGTGCATCTCTGAGTGAATGTTCCGACTGCATGTGTAGCATCTGTTCACTGCAAGGTCACTGTGCATGTTGTACCATTACAACATTTGATTGAATCATTATTTGAAATGATTAATTTTTTTTAAATGTTATAGAAATACATATCCCACAGCTGTGCTCTTGTACTCATTACTTATTTTCTGCCCTTGAAATGCAGTGTTTTTCATTGACAGGGTCCTCACCAAAGCCAAAAACAACCCTTGGAATATCAACCCCACAAGGGTTTCCTTGTGGCATTCCACCCTAACACGCTTTTTATTCACAAAATCTCTTAATTTTACAGGATCACACCTCTGTTAGAACCTCTTTTCCTGAACCACGAATCATCTTATACTACTGCCTATTCTGCACAGTCTTCTTGTCCACACAGCTCCCATCCAGCCCCACTCTCTTTTTTGGAACAGAAGTCGCTGTATCACTGGCAAGCACATATCCAACAACACAAATATACACAACTCCCCTGGCCAGAGGCGAGATCACCCAGAGGACAGCAGGCATGTCCAGCACTCTCATTTACCGCACTGGAGAAAGTGACCTGCCATTGACATTGGCAGAAGAAGAAGGCTGACCAGCTGTTTCCGGGAACATCAGAGCAATGAGGATCAAAGATCTCTACATGCGGAGATTTTATGTTCCACACTTCATGTCTTCCGGCCCCGATCAGCTAACCATTCTGTCTGCATTCTTTGACAGGGTTTCAAAGACTCCCACTCCTGAAAGAAATCAGCAACTGAAATTATCCCCATGCTCAGTTCACGCCTTCGCTCAACTCCCAGTGATGCACTAAGTTCATTCTAAATGTCTCTGCCTTCTGCAGTTCCCCTGGACTCTGTCTCCCAGATTTCTTTATCTTGGGAGACTTGTCTTTTCATTCCCACCTTGTTTTTCTTTTGTTCTCCTTTTCTTCATACTGCTCTCTCCTTCTTTCCCCTGTACTCCCAATAATGGCTCCAGATCACTTTATTGGTCATATACAATTTCTTGTATTAGGAATTTGTCTTTTCACATATCCCTAATGCATACCCCAGCTTGCTCTCCATGAGACACACAGACAGCTGGGGGTCAGACCGCAAGTTCAGCCATTTCTACAGCGCCCCTGGAGCAGTTGGGGTTAAGGGCCTTGCTCAGGGGCCCAACGGAGTAGGATCCCTCTGCCGGCTGTGGGATTTGAACCAGCAACCTTCAAGCTACAGGCGCAGATCTTTAGCCACAGTGCCACTGCTCTGCCCAGCCTCTGCGTTGGGTTTTTCATGTTCCTCTTACTTTTGAGCCATACTTAACCCTTGCTTGCTCCCTTGCAGCCCAGACAGTGACACAGCTCCTCACCCTAATCTCTTCAGAGTTTTGTTTTCAATTGTCACCTGTAATCATTTTGCTCAATTCAGAATATTCCTGATAATACCTGACTTGACACTGTATGTCCACTCAGCTACAGGCATCTGCTTAATAAACTGAAAATAACACTAACAGTAAATGCCTGGGGAAAAGAAATAAGTGCAAGTGTAACTTGTTTCCCAGCTCAAGGCGTACGCCCTGGATCTGAGTGGGGAACGGCTGGAGGACCCCACCGAGCTGGAGATCATAGTGTTGGATCAGAACGACAACAGGCCTGTCTTCACACAGCCGGAGTACATTGGAACTGTCCTGGAATTCTCCACACCAGGTTAGGAATGTAGAAGAACCTCCGCAGCTCTTCTAAACCATCTGGGGAACTACAAGACTAAAACTACTACTACTCCTTAGTCAAACCAGTTAACACTGAAGCAAATGTACATGTGGGTGTAGTTTCCAGCCACTGAATATTCTCAGCCCAAGGGAAGGGAGTTATTTCCATGCGTGGTTATGTTCCTGAAGTTGTCAAAGGCAGCACACATTGTCAAAACAATTTGGTACAGAAACACTACAGCAAAGAAAAGGTGTAACAATGAAAAACATGGTGCAGGTGCTTTAATGTAATGATATGTTAGCCTCATTTGGGCTGAAAATGTCATTATTATTGGCTTGACTGATTAGCACTTGGCTCGGCTCAACAGGCACGTCTGTCATGCAAGTGACAGCGACGGACGCGGATGACCACGAAACCGACAACGCCATTCTGAGCTACTCCATCATCCGCCAAGACAGCATCCCGCCATTCCACGTCAACAAGACTATGTTCGGAATCGACAACAGTACCGGAGTCATTTTTACTCGGGACGTGGGGCTGGATAGTGAGGTGAGAGAACGGACCCCTCTATCGCTGTCACTCTGATAACTGCAACGATAAAGACTCTCAAAATATTTTCCGTATTAGGAGAAAAAGCAATCAACTGTCCTGTGCTACAGTATATTTTGACTACTGTGAATTGTTTGTAGTTTTGCATAAGAATCCACATACAAGCATATTTTGTCAGGAAATACTAGATTTTACTGAAAGTCAGCTTGAGATGTAGAAAACCAAAGCATTAGAGCAGTTAAAATCGAGCAAACCCTCAAGTCTAACACACTAACTTTATAAAGGTAAACTTATTGAAATCCTGTAATTCTCAAACTCCCATCTGAGTTTCATCAACTACAGTACAAGAAAAGCCATCTCTAGCAGACATGCTTCAACACCAGATATAATCGTCTTTTCCGTCAGGACTCATTTTCAAGCTGCTGATGGGACTTGAACCATCATGGTCAACAGATATCCCCCTATATGCTCTCGTGTGACTGTGTTTCAGATCATGGAGGGATTCAACTTAACCCTGCAGGTGGCGGACATGTCTGGAATGGGCCTGACTGCATACTCTACGGCCATCATATACATCAAGGACATCAACGACAATGCTCCCATATTCACCCCAAAATCAGTAAGAGCTCAGAGAGCCTTTTCTTTTTTGTCTTCTGGTGCAAACCCCAAGCCTCCAAGTGCTACAGTTCAGTCAAGGGGGTATCTCTGGGTCTACTAATTCTGAAAGATGTTTTAAGACCTGGGACTGTTCATGTGTTTCCAGGGTATGAATTCTTTTATTATCAGATTTAAAAGAAAACTTCAGTGCTGAAGCTGGCCAAAAGAGGGTTACCCCTCAAGCATCAATTACTTTCTTCAGAGCTGCCTTCCCACCAGCTTTGAAAATACTCTGAGGCAACCTAACAAGGGACCACATTGAAGATGCTCACACAGAATCCAATACAAATAAGTAAACACACTGTAGAAAATGATTCAGATGACCACAAGCATTTTAAATTCGAACCGCTCATTACTGTGCAGCAATGACTCTTTTTCAGTGTTCAGGAAATCTTGTGTGTACTCTCATTCCTAACACAAATGAGCAAAACATTAACAAAGCAGTGCTTCCATAGTAATAACTGAGCCTTTGGGCAGCTTATACTGATTAAACATATTCACATTTGTAAATGTGCTACATTGTAGATCTTACCTTTGTTTCGTGAGATTGTTTTGGGGGTGGGGGTTACATCGTAGATTCCACAAACCTCCATGTATGGTCACTTTTTATTTTTTTCCTCTAAAAAACGCTAATTTACATTCATCCAAATTCCAGTACTACTTTGAGGCAGCGGAGAACGAGGCCAATTTTCTCGTCGGCACAATCAATGCGACAGACATCGACGAAGAGAACACCCCGAACTGGAGAATAAAGTTCAACATTATAGCTGGAGATCCAGACGGGCACTTTGACGTCCGCACAGACAGTGCCACTAATCAAGGCATGGTGTTCGTGGTGAAGGTAAGCTACTGCAAAAGCCGATAAACAAACATGAAATGGAAAGAACATGCGATCAAGACATTAGCCCAGTTTTCCATTCTAATAGGTAAAGAGCAGCCAAGACAAGATTTCAGGCCTTGCGCTGCGCATATGCAAAGGTTAACCAGTGAGCAACCATGAAGTGGCTTTATACCACAAAGAGCCAATACGACATAAGTTTGTTGCGCTAAAATACCCAGCTCAGACACAATGCAGCCTAATTGCAGAATTGTAGGCACGGATGTCAGACCGAGTGATATCGCGCCATCTGCTGGCAAGATTTGTCAATGCATGTTGTCAGGGCAATTATTTGAACTAATCCTCTTTACTGAGTAAACGTCATTTTCTTCCAATAAAATAGATTGCGAGAAATGGTGTGGAATATGAAATATAAAGCCTTATAAAATATAAGAAGTTAAACAGAAAGATAAATAAAACATACAAGCTATATAAACAGATATATAAAATTAAGCATTGAAATAAAATAATCTATAATTAACTCATTGCTTGCTCCATAGCAGAAATAAACAGGATTGTGTATTATTCATTATAGAGAAACAGTGAGCTTGAAGCTACTTTAGGGTGTGTAACGTCCATGAAATGAGTATTCTTTACTGTGCTGCAGCCCCTGGACTATGAGACAGTGAGAGAATACCAGCTGACTGTAACCGCGGAGAACGAGGCCCCCCTCAGTTCCAAGGCACCCCAGATTCCCCTGAGCAGTGCCACTGTAACCATCACCGTTCTCAACCAGAACGAGGCGCCGGGCTTCCGAAGCAACCCCATCAAACTCTCTGTGGCAGAGGGGACACCCCAGGGCACAGTGCTAGCCCGTGACATTGCCTCTGATCCTGACCGGCAACAGCTGAGGTGAGCCTGGCACTGAGAGCCAGCTGCTGTCTTGGCATGCCATGAGGTCCGCACAGTAACAGCCTTTTGTTGAGAGCCTGGGTTCAATCCATTTTTTTAAAAAGCAAAGCCATTCAGATATCAGGTAACTGTAAAAATTGCAGCTTGACTCTAAAGCTGTCAGCAAACGGAAATATACGATTCCGCACACATGGAGCACAGCTGTGCTGACCCACAGGAAGGCTGGTGGAGACCAGGCCTCAGCTCAGTCTCACTCACGAGAGAATGTGGCCTGTCTCTGATCAGGTATGACATCGAGTACGACCCCGGCGAGTGGCTTTCTGTGAACAGCGAGACCGGAGAGATTAGAGCCAACAAGATGATCGACAAGAAATCTCCCTTCCTTGAAGACAATGTCTACAGGGCCGAAATCAGAGTGTCAGACACAGGTACAAAACACTGTCTTGCTATTTTCAATAATAAAAGTAAAACACTGTAGCCGAAAGAGACAGGAAAGCATTCTCAGATACATCTGAACCTGAATATGTAGTATCACAGCCCTCACCTGATTCACTCCATTTACGCGGGGCTTAAATTATCATTAGTTGATTAGGGTAATAGTAGCTGTTGCTGTGTTATACAGGAAAAAGTCCATAGTCAAGCTAAGTAATTTTCCAGGATCAGCTTTCCAGAATAACTTAACTTGCATTAATAACATATATGTATTTTGTCTTATGTAATGAATTTTAGAACAGACACACGTTTTTAAAAGGTTTCTTTGATTGTAGTTTCACTGCGTGTTTTTGCCAGGGGAAGACAGGAGCACAGCCACAGCCACTGTGGAAATCACAGTAATGGAGACAAATGACTACCCCCCAGTAATTTTCCCTCTAAGTGGCTCAGTGTGCAGCGACCCAGAAAAAGGTTCTGGCTTGATTCTGAGTGCTGTGGATATGGACCAATCTCCTCATGGACCCCCTTTCTATTTCAATCTGTTCATTAACACTGTCACTGTCAACTGGACTCTGGTCACGCTCAACGGTAAGAGCTTGGGACGGGAATAAAAACAATGTTCTGTTACAGCACAAAAAGATACTAGTGTACCAAAGGAGACATAAACTGAAATTCAGAATCACTACAGTAAAGTTAACAGCATATTCATTTTTATTACTCATTTATTTGGCAGATACCCATGTATGTACTGTCTTTGGGTATTTTAATGGAGCACGTCAGATAAAGCACCTTGCTCAGGGGTACAACAGCAGTGTCTCACTGTGGATTTAAACCCACAACCTTCCAGTTACAAAGTAAGGTCCATAACTACAGCTGTCCTACTAGGACTGTAGTTATTGTAGTTAGCAATCCTACAGCTAGTACTGTAGTTAGTAATCCTACTGAACTTTTGGATTAACATTGTTTTGTTCATCACAAGTGATAGATAAACCTTCAGATTAAATCACTAGGCTGTGAGATTTCCCTTGCCCCCAGCAGTATTTGTTCTTATACCTGCACAATACAAATCCCAACTCCTCCTCGAATAATAAAATGAGTGTCTTACTGTGAGTTTCTCAGTAATGTCTGATGCTCTGCGTTTTGTGATCTCCCTTGCCCTCAGGCACCCATGTGGCACTTCGGCTGTTGCGAGAGCTGGAGGCAGGCCCGTATCCCATCTCTGTGAGAGTGTCCGACTCAGGCCAGCCCACCCTTTCCGCGCTGTACACCGTCAATGTGTCCGTGTGCCAGTGCGACGAGGCTGGGGACTGCAGGGCCCTGCTAGGTGCCCTCTTCGCTGGTCGCACGGGCCTGAGCCTGGCAGCCGTGCTGATCATCCTGGGCAGCGTCGCCCTCTTGCTCCGTATGTGTCACTCTCCCTGAGATCTCAGCACCCGACATCTCACACAGACAGCTTGCATCTCACATGTGAGACAGGAAATCCTTGATTGCATCATTCAATTCCCAGCAGGACTGCAGAAAGAGGAGATGAGATCAACTCTATCCTTTTATTTTCCTTCCTGTGCTAATTTGAACCTCATTTTCATGCCACACACAGGCCAGAACCAGATCGCTGTCACTGAAGGCCCAAATAATCTAAATGCAGTTTGTTGTAACTTCAGAAACTATCCATTGTAATTGAATTTTCCCTTCGGAGCTATACACAAGCACGTCAGAGCAGTAGAAGTGGTGTGCACAAGCTGCTGGCGTGTGTGCTGTGCTGTGCCCCGCGAGACCAGCCAGGGTGCTAAAGCACGCGGCCTGCTCTCTGCCCTCAGTGTCCTTGCTGATCGTGGCCGCCGTGGGACAGTGCCGGCGGCAGCCCTTGAAACAGGGGCTGCTGGGAGGGTCAGACGATGACATCCGCGACAACGTGCTGAATTACGACGAGCAGGGGGGTGGAGAGGAGGACGAGGTGAGTTCACAGCGTATACAACTTCTGAATGTCTGTCTTCCATATGGGCCGTCTCACCAGGAAAGGAAGCTGCTTAAAATTTGATTTGTCGAACAAACGTGCTAAGATGGTGCATACCTAGTTACTGTATGTACTGCCATCTCAGTGGCAAGGGATGCACATGGTGTTTGTCTGGAAGACAAAAGGGCACAACAGCCTACAATAGCATTTCAGATTTAGTTGATTGATGGATTTCCGGCTACAAACATATGCACTTTAAATACAGAAGCAATTGGTTCAGATCTCTGCCACAGATTATTTAATATTCTTGTACATCTTCTTTTTTGTAATTCTTTTTGATACATTTGATACATTTTCAGCACCCTGTTTCTTTTTTTTAATGGTTTGTAATTTGCCAAATCGCTCTTTGATGCACCTTTTACACCTTTGCGTTGTGTTGAATGTGAGTTGACCTGGATAAAGGTGTCAGTTAAATAATCAACCAGTCACACCCAACATGACTAAATCATTCATAAAAGTTCCACGATGCTCCACCCATCTCTTTTCCCAGAATGCCTACAATATAGACCAGCTGAGAAACCCCGATGAGGTGGTCCCGCCTCTAGCCTCCGCCCTGCCCAGACCCAAGCAGCCACTCAGGAAAGACGCTCCTTACAACTACCCTTCCCCCTCGTATCCACGGAAACCCCCAACAGACCCTACCGACATCGAAGATTTCATCAACGATGTAAGAGGCTGATGGTCTTCACTTTCTCGTTCTCTTCGTTAAAACTGGAGATTCTAATTTTTTGTAGAAAATAAGTTTTATATATATATGTTATAAAGTTCAAGTAGAGAGCTGCATCAGCATGCATAGGCTACAAAGGAACACGTAAAGGTTAATTCCATACTGAAAAGAGAAGAAAAGAAACACAATGTTTCAGCTGTGGAGCCTACTTCGGTGTGTGTATATATTATATATACAATATACATTATATATACACCTTTTTAGAAATATTGTCCATATACATCCGTAGGCCTGTGTATGTAAACAGACAATCGAGAAAAGTAAGATCATTTTACTCAGTATCTGGTGAAATTCATTGAGATATTTAATGTTGTTATAATGTTCACTTAGACCTCAAACCCTTTCCAGGGCCTGGATGCTGCCGACAATGACCCCAATGTGCCCCCCTATGACACGGCCCTCATCTACGACTATGAGGGCGAAGGCTCGCTGGCTGGGAGCCTGAGCTCTATCGCCTCGGGCAGCTCAGACGGGGACCAGGACTATGACTACCTCAACGACTGGGGGCCACGCTTCAAGAAACTGGCCAATCTGTACGACCAGCACTGATGGCCACACCCACTGACTCCGCCTCTCCTCCTGAAAGCATCATCCACGTTTCTTACTGAAAACCATGGATCCGTTGTTTCCTTCCAGATCTTCCAACCTCTAATGGGACTATCATTGCAATGCAGACACACACGGGTATTTGATGAAAAATATTTTCTTAGGAGTTCAGAAGTGCCAAGCTGCTGTGAAAAAAAGTTTCCACCTGTGATTGGCATACAACACTTTGGTTATGAAGTCTCACAGCCCACTTAACAACTAAGACATGGCTGAGAGAAACAGACGGGCTGTGTCTCTGTGTGTTCTTTTCTCTTTCTGGAGATGACTACAAGAGGGCTGAAGACAGGAATCCCCTTCCAGTACAGGAGATGTCAAGATAGGTGAGGGGCAGGTGTCTCTTCTCTTTATGAACAGGCTGTGAGGGGGTTGAAGATGGGACACCTCTACTAGTAGAGGTGGCATCAGTACAGGTGAAGAGCAGGTGTCTCTTCTCTTCTCTTTCTGGACAGGCTATGAGGGGGTTAAAGATGGGACACCTCTGCCAGTACAGGTGGTTACAGGACAGGTGAGGGGGAGGTGTCTCTACGTTTCTCTTTCTGGACAGGCTGTGAGGGGTTGAAGATGCATCAGGACAGGGGAGGGATGTGTGTCTATGCAGACTGCAAGGCAGGTAGATGACTGGCAGAAGGTATGACAGGTGAATTTCTTGAAGATAGGTATTTTCCTGAAGGTATGCAAAGAAGATTTTCTTAATGCTAGGAAATAAGAGGGGTATTAAAGTCAATCCAAGGTAAATGGACCTTCTCTTTTAATATTGGTCATTCTTAACTGCAAAGTATACTATAAAGGCAAAGGAAAAGGCAATTGCTGGACTAACAGCTGATTTTACTAGAAGGAGATTGAACAATAGTGGACTACAAGATCCTGTTCATTTCATCACTAAAGATTCAAGTAGATTTGGGAGCAGCAGCTATCTTTAGAAAAGGATAAGTCATTTTGGTTTTAAATGAATGTGATTGTAATGATTTAGTAATATAAGCCCCCGTGGGAGGTAAGGGCTAAGGTAAGGCAGAAAGATAATATTGTATTATTGTAATATTGTTCTTTTGTAATTTTCAGTCCACGTAACCTGTCGAAAAATGCTTTGAAAGCCAAATATTAGACTGTAAATCTTAATTCAATGATGCTGGGATTTAAATAAGAAAAAATGCCTTTTTATACTTATGTTATGACACATTAAGTAAGATAAATATACAGTAACTTACTAATAATGAAACAGAGGAGAAACATTTGAGAGAATCTCCTCTAAGTTTGCATTGAGGATATCAATACAATATCTTATCTGAAGCCATATCCTACTGTGAAAAACTCAGGCATTGCTTCTATTTTTGCAGCATTATCCTATTCTTCTTACAAGTCATATTTTTGTATCAGATAAAACCATTGGGATTGTATTGAATTGTTTTCATATTTTTAAAAAATAAAGACTGAAATTGTGTCATACTGGCAAATGTAAACTGTTAATCTTGTCAGCAATAAGCACAACTTTTACAGCCTAGACAGGAAAAGTGTTTGTGCATTCTTTTTTTTATGGTTGCAGTTCAGGCTGTCCTTAATTTGGAATATCAGTCCTTCTTCACCGATGGTGTTTGAAGAACTGAATATTGTTATAGCAGCAAGACTTACGCAATTCAGAATTGAGTTTTATTGTTTGATTTTGTTTCAAGTTTTTTTTTTTTACAGCATATATGGCTGTGTAAGGAATTGTCATGATACAAAAAGGTAATGCAAAACAACCTGTAATAGTTATCATTTCTGATCTTTAAATTTTGTTTCATACAATTAAAACTTTTTTTCTGAGAACCATCTGTAAAATGCAGTCTCACTGGCTTTTTCTCATCTATCCTCAGTTCGTTTTTTGACATTGTCTGAATGCATCTGTCACTAAATCATCAGCCAGGTCATCCAACTGTCCATCATCCGTGATATACCTATCCTTCATATCTGTATCCTTGCAGATATTGGGCACAAAGCCTGGCACCAGTCCATCACAAGGTGCAGAAGCTCAGGGTTAATTTACAGACACCAGTTAACCTAGCCAATAAACTGCTAGAAAGCAGAAAGCAACTGGAGCAGCCAAAGACATGCAAGAAGCACACAGAAGGCAGAATCGAGCCCAGGACACCCAGCCAGATATCGATGTAAAATGATGGGAAGTTTTCACCCTTTAATTATAAGCACTTCATGCATTAGAAGCTCAGAATGGAAGGCACTACGAAAAATTTAAAAAATGCCTTCAGCAATCTATTGAAAGGTATGATGATCAAACCAACAAAAACAAAAAATGAGCAAGGTGATTAAAATGCAAGAAGTTACAAAAGGTATAAATGTACCTGCAGCAGACACTGCAGTCAGTGCTCCACCCACAGGGGCCGGTATGGGATGATCAGCACAGCTGTGCAGGGTGGGGTTGTCACAAGATAACAACTCTTGAAATTTGCAAACATACCTGATCTTGTGATCTCACACTCCAGTTTAGCACACAGCATTATAGAGCCTCATTCACAAAACATTTTGGTGCAATTATATACGTGTAAACCAGAGATGAAGAATCTTTGAATTCACAATCCATGGGGAAACAAGCAGCTGGGAGGTGCGATTACTGCAGGTGCACAGTTATCAAAGCCCCAATAACTGCAATAAGCACATCCTGGATACGTATTTTAAAGTCTCCAGAAATTTCCTCAGCACACCACCCTGAGTACACTTACCCACTTATTCTCAATCTGTCCTTGATCCTCAAGCCCTTCACTACAAGGAATATGTTCTCATGTGACCTTTGCTTAAGATGCAAGCACGTTATTTAGACAGGAATAGGAGTGCTAATGACATGTGATCGATTTCACTTACAAACGTCAGCACAAGGGGCTCTTACCTCTGCGAGCACAAACCTGTGGAGATCAAACAGCACCAACAGAACCCATCTTTCAGGGATGCTTATTTAACCATGAGGCCCATAGTCTGCTATCATCGCCTTACGTCATTTTTAACCTCTTTAAGTTACCCCAACTTAAGTAAATGTGGTAAACATACTGATATTGTTCCTCCATCTGGCTCAAGATGCTAACAAAAAAGTATTTCTTCTATCATTCCAAGCTTTGCAATCCATTTACCAACAAACACAACACTAAAAGATCAAACTTATGACCAACAGCATTTGTAAGACATTTTATTTAAATTATACAAACTAAGCACAATAAGAAAAATATTATTATAGTAAAGGAATTGCTTTTGCATGGGTATAAACACAAAACCTTTCTGCAAGCACAGAACAAGTACAGAAACATAACTGGAGGCAGTGTTCAGCAGAGCGAGGACTAAGACTAAGCTTTCAGGAGGTCACAGCATTTCACCTGAAAGAGCCAAGTGTTTTTATCTCCATTGCCATTTATTTTATAATTCGTCATATTAAGCTGTCATTACATTCTATTCACATGAGCAAAATAAATTCCCTTTTTAATTATCCTACAGTCGCTGTCAATGCAAAACATTATAATTCCCACATTTGCTGACATCTGTGGGCAGAGTTGGAGAAAGAAACGTTTTAAAATGATTGTATTACAATTAGAAGAAATTTTGTGTAAGGGATTATTTTCAAATTAATAAGAAGTTGAGGAAAATCACTTTTAAGAGTAATGTTTTATTCTGCATAGATTAAATACATAAATAGCTGTTACAGTTGATTTTTTTCAAGTTATTTTTGTTCAACGTCCTGTTAATTTCTAAAAACTAACAACTTACACAAGAAACTTGTACCTGTGATAGTTTTCCTTACACTTTCTGTGGGCCATCTACTGTGTCTGTATTCATATCTCAGTTCTGACCTGTGTTAAAATAGAATGTGCTGGATTAGGTTGGTCACATCTTGTGTGCAGAAGCCCCATATACCTAACTAAACTCATTATTTATTTAATGGGGACTAACTGAAGTCTTTCCTTGGTCTTCAGAAGCTGCGGATTTAAAGAGACCTATAAAACCTACTTGAGGCCTTGAGGACCAGAGCTGGTCTCCTCTGATCTAATGGTCTACTGAACCGCCATTTGAAATTCCTTCTTGTGAACTGTGAATGTCTTTTCATCAGCCGCCATAGGCAAAGTAGGGCAAATGAACATCAGCACTTTGAGGACGACCAGTGTGCTTAAATACACTACATAATCTGCTAGTACAAAGCAGGAGTGGCTAATTCCAATGAAGTCACAGTACAAAAGAATGCTACATTTTGTTACTAATGTCTTCTACATAATCATGGACCATGGAAAGGTTTTGATGTTTCCTGTGCAAATCCCACGAGACTGATCAGAAGTCTGTCACTCCGCGATAGTTTGTGCAGTCTCTCACCTCAAGTGCATCTTCCTACTGTTACAAATGTTTCTTAAATTAAAATGATAAGCATGAGCCTACCCTGAAAACAAAACAAAGGTTTACAAAGCTAAAAGCATGAAGAACATCAACATCTAACTTCAGCTACATGGGTTAGAGATTACAGCTTAATGAACAAGGGGAGCTCTTTACAAAACAGGCATGTGACCGAGACATAACCGATTCCCATAGCAGCATTACAAAAGAAAATGGAAAACGTGAATACCCAGAAATAGATGCCTGCAAACTATCCTCAGTACTTGGACCCTTCAATAAAGAAGCCAATACTCTGAAGCCACAGGTCACACTACAGTACTGGCCTATTTCATAAGATCCTTATCTGAACAGCTAATTTATCATAAGACCTTTGTAAAATAAAGATGGCCATGTATGCTTACTCAAGTTTCACCCAACGAAGAACGACAATCAGAAACAGATTTGAAAATACACACATCGGGGGAGGTAAAATCCATCACTGCCATAAAACTATATAACAATAACAGCATTCCTGATTAAGAAAATCAACATACAAATGTGAAAGAAGACCAGCATCGTTAAAGTTATTCAAGTCATTTGAAAGTGACAGCTCCAGGGATCTCCCCTCCCCCAGCAATGGCAGAGACACACTTGAGAGGAACAAGTGCAACATTTGCTGGTGGCCACCAAGATGAAAGCTACATCAAAGTAGCAGGAGGGCATAGAAATACATAACTCAGCTGTGGTAACCCATAGTCTTTCCCATATTACATAACACCTGATTTAATGGGCTTACAAAAACGTGGTCCGTGGGTTTGGTGACTATGTCACCCTGATGTGTTGGAGGCCGAGTTCTATTACAGTTTTCAGCCTGGCTCAGCCTTCCCGTTGTTGTGGAAGTCTCAACACTGAACACCTGCAGCTATGGAAACCTTTTCTGTTCAAAGCAGTTTTTCCCCCCAAACTGGGCGGAAACTACCGATCACCTCAGAGCCTTTTCTTCACTTCTGGCCCTTCATTCAAAGTAGGAAACGGGGTGCTGAGATGACAGTGATTCTTACAGAGTTCTTCCTTTTCCACCTCCTGTAGTACTTTATAAAACCTGACAGGGAGACAAACTCTGCCTCAGGCTTAAGAGTCCTCATTGTCCACAGCCTGCTCGTCCCTGCTCCTGCTCAGCAAGGGGGGAGGGAGTGGCCCCGCCATCCTAAAGGGAAGGGCGTCTCTGGACAGCATCTTCTTGGTGGCGCTGACCAGGCGGGAGTAGTTGTCGGGGTTGTAGTCCGAGGGCCTGGGGCGAGCCTGCAGCAGGGGCAAGCTGTCCCGCTCGTCACGAGACAGGAAGAGAGGGGGGCGCCGCTGGTTCTCGCCCTCCTTCAGGGAGTCCGGCAGGGGCTTGCGCTTGCTCTCCGGAAGCAGCATGATGCAGAGCACCGAGAGCACGGCGAAGGAGGCGAACACCACATGGTGCAGGAAGTAACCACTGTTGCTCTGCAGCTCCATGAGGGAGGAGGCCGCCTGCCCGACACAACCTGCGGCCAGCACCAGCCCCAGGGTCGCACCCCTAAAGAGAGAACCCCAAAAAGCCACCAGTTATTGACTGAGACTCTGCACAACACACGGGCCACCTGCCCTCTAACAGGCTTGTAAACCTGCCAAGCTGCACGTTGAACTCAATGAATCGATCTGGGTCTGGTTTTCTCAGAAATGAAATGCATAGAAGTCGGCAATTTTAACACTTAATGCTAAAGAACGTTTGATATAAATTCTTTAGATAAATACAACACAGCTCACTTTTACAGGAAGAGTGTTAAATGAATAGATCCGCAGTGCAGAGCTGAAGCAAAGAGACTGCAAAGTGCCCTCCACATACCTGACCACGGTAGGCATGACCTCACTTGCAAAGAACACACTGAGCATGGCCATAGCCTGGGAGGAGAGGAGCCCCACTATGGACAGGACCAGGATGAAGCCATCCATCAAGTCTGGAAAGAGAGAGCAGTGTCATGCAGATTGCCAGGGGCCTGCACCGCCCCTGCTCAGTCAAGGCTATCTAACCCACTACCTAGCACCGACATCTCAACATGCTCTTGTGTTTGTATTATAGTGATCGCTCCCAGTTGCGACAACGGCAAGGGAATGACAGGCTGGAGACAACTTTCTTACCCTTTTAAATACAGGGGACTTGCTAATCATCCGAACAGGTAACACAGCTGGGGTTGCAGAGAGAGAGAGAGACTGCAGGCAACAGCCGGATTCAGATGAGTGATTTGTGTTGTTTATTTTAGATGACTGCTGTAACTTTGGGATTTCTATTGTTTGTTTTAGTTGATAAATGTTATTTTAACTGAATTAAAGCCAATGCATTAGTACTTTAAATATCACATAAAGGAGGGTTAGTTATGTCTTTTAAACACATATCCCAAATACTGTAGTACACTATGCAATAGTGTAGGGGTGGACTTGGTTACATCATGAATTTGGTTATTCACCACAGATCTCTTCCTCAAACCCTTGTGAATGTTGAGACCAAACTGTATAACAAATTACTACACAATCTCAACTACTCTTCTACTTACTTAGTAAAGAAACTAACGTCACCCTTGAGCATCCATGATGGTGGAGCACTCCTGTCTGAACTATTGATAAACTGGTGAAAAGTATTTTTAGAAGCCTGTAGAAAATGATGAATTAGTAAGACTTGTAGGATTGTGTTGCTTCTGCATTGGGTTTGACCTTGATCCAGTATCATGGATCCTGGGAAGAACCTTTATTATTAAGGGCTACAGAGCTTAAATTTAAACAAAACAGAAACAAAGGTCTGTTACAGAGCACGCCTAAACAGACTGCAGTTTTGTTTTTCTGTGAGCGGCAGAGACTGGATTAAATCACTTCTCAACACTTAACGTTCGTCACTGAATCAGCAACGCCTTGTTCAGTAAACAGCGGGCATGTGTATATATAAGGTGGGCATAAATTAAATGAATAAATTTGCAGGCCTTCATGCATGTGGCTTGTCGACATCTGCACAGCATTAATAAAATAATGTGACAAACAATTGCCAGCGAACAGAAATATCTGATAAATCATTATGTTTGAACCCAGCACTGACTTTTCCACTGCTATTCTGCAACACATGCACACCTCTAAACCCCACAAACTAAAAACGACCAACTATAAACAAATCGCTGTCAGCCAACGCAAGAAAATAAAGAGCAAATGCATTTGCTCTTTAATTACTGTGCAGATGTAATGATTGAGTCCTAGCACACCTCATTCAGGTTCATTACTTTGCAAACACACAGCCTCCAATTCAGGGTCATGGGGAACACCAGTCCATCACAGGACATTGACAGAGACAGGACACCCAAGGTCTAGCCTCGAGCCCAGGGCCCCAGCACTGCCAGGCAGCGGTATTGACCACTGCAACCCCCCGTAATCCATAATGCAAATATTCTGAAATAATGACCAAGAGAGCAAGGTTGTGGAACCTTCACGTATTTTTGTACGTGCTTGGGACCACCATGCCAGTGTCCTCCAACTCCAGAAGGTGTGGCAACACGCGAGACAGCTGCAGCAAAACCTTCCGATCCGTCTCGCCACGAGCCTCGGCGAGAGACCCCTTCCGCACCAGGAAGGGAGAGAAGGCACCAGTGAAAGGGCCGGGACTCACACTGCGTGAGGGCGAGCAGAAGGAGGGAGGCCATGCCAGTCACGATGGAGGACAGCAGCAGCATGCCGCGGCGGCCGAACCGGTTCACGGTCGCCCACAGCAGCGCGCAGGCCAGCCCCCCCGCCAGCACGCGCAGGAAGTAGCTGAAGTAGAAGTGAGGCTGAAAGCCGAGCAGATTCCTCGTGAAGCAGTACTGGATTCCCGCACCGATGAACCTGGTAAAACACATCGATTTCAAATTGAGGCAGGAGGTTCAACTGCAAAATTCCTAGCACTCAAAATCAATTTCTTTCTTCTTATCAATAAAAATGACAACATTACAATGCAAATACTGATTAAAAAAAAACAGAAAATGCCTAAAAGGCCTGGGTAAGGTAAATAAGGTTGACTCTTATTTGACTCTGATGCAGCTGTTCTCTCTGGACATGAACGCTTGACATCTGAACTGTTCTTCTGGAGTCCATTGTATTGGTTGAGCCTGTGTCAACTTTGTTAGCCTGATCTAAATTTACTTTGTCCATCAGCTTATTTAACTTGCAAATCAAATTACCTACTCTAATTTTACAATACCCTGTTTTAAAAATGAGTTCATTACAAAGAGCTTTGGCAAGGTGAATGGCAAAATAAAACTGAAAAATGTTTAAATTGCCTTGTTTACAGCAGTTCTGATTTATGTGACACCTTGTGTCATTATTATGACATCTGGAGCTGCTTACAGTAAGATATGCCTCAGATACTGGCAATGACTTATAAAGGCACAATGAAACAGAGGACACAAATGGTATTCACTGTGCGCTAATGTAGCACCGTCTGCTATATGTTATCATTGTTTATGCAAATATATTCACCATAGTCCTGTCTAGAAGTGTATTTCAGAATGTGCAAGTATTATAACACAGCTGTTTAAATAGGAAAACTTTGGAAGTATACTTAATTATTCTAGCCAAATTGAAATATCAGGCAATTCTAGGCTTTGTAGCAGAAAACCCTATCTTGGCCTATGACTTGTGGCACAAAGCCCTGAAAATGTGTTGAAAAAGTCACTTATTTGAACAGAAAGTGTTACATGAAGGCAGGGGCTTTTACAAACATTTTGAAATCCTGTTTAAGGGTGATGGATAGGTGGGAACAGAGAAACAAGGTTAATCTTTGAGTACTCAAAGACTGACAGATCCTTTCACAAAAGTGTATAGGTAAATTTGAATTTCCATTTAAGCCCCGGACAGTTTAAAATCGCACTCTTCCATTTCCTACATGTATGAGGCCAAAGGCTCAAATGATTAGTTACATGGGTTTCTGGAATATTTCCATGCTGTGTAATACAGGTAAATCTGGAAATAATAGGAAACAGAGCAAACAGGACAATCTTGTGATGGGAATTTGAGAAGAACAGACTTTTTGGAGGGAGAACAGCGATTACCAAAGTTTAAGAAATAAAATATGGGCCATAAAATGTCTTCTAAGGAGATTCCTCCACTCTTCTGTAAGATTGTGATCTTCCAGCCAGTGGATGACAAATGGTAGATGCTGCTTCAGTTCTTGGTGCCCAGGGGCCACTTACCCTGTAAAGCCCAGGATGAGGCAGTTTTTCCAGATGACACGAGTATGAGCCAGCTCGCACACATTGTGGAAGCGCGGCCGACAGTCTTCAGTGTACACCAGGTCAATCTCTGCAGTGAGGAAAAAGGAGCTTGCACTGCCACACTGTACTACAACAGCTTGGCAAGGCAAGTTTCAGGGAGATAGGACTTGGTGTGGGCTAACAACGCATCTACAGTCTTGTAAAGAGAGATGTTCACATAGGGAGCTGTATCAGCATGTGCAGGCTGCAAATAAACAGGTAAAAGTCTGATTGACGCTGAAAAGTAAAGAAAAGAAGGCGATACCTGAAGAAGGCTCTACAGCCAAAATGTTGCGTTTTTCTTTTCTGTACCCTTGACAGTGGAATTAATCTTTATTTGTTCCTTGTACACGGAGGTATAGTAATAAGACAGAAATGTATCACAACAGCCCCATACAAGGCTGTTAATAAAGAATACCCCTATTTATCAGATGTGATGAGGCTTTATCTAACTCAGGCTACAGGTCTTAGTGCAATTGTATTAAAATTCTCAGTTAGATTTTAACGACATGAAGGAACAGGAAACAAAGCCCTGGTTGTCCAGCACCCACCCTCTGCAGGTTCATTAAACTCCTGCTTGGGAAAAGCAAAAGAGGACCGTGCCGTCTCAGAGAGGAAACTGTGCAGTTCAATTTGCAACGGCTGTCAATGACAGAAGAGCACACTGATCTCCTTGAACCGTCCCAAACAACTGTGCGAGCCAACTAAAGGACTTAGTTTCTCTAAAGGAGGTTTCTCTTGAGCAGCGAGGAAAATCCCGAAGAGCATACCTGCCAGGAGGTTCTCGGAGGCACAGATGTCATCACCCAGACACACGCGGTTCCGCAAAGAGAAGCTCAGCAAGACCCTCTTGGCCGAGGAGATCTGTCGCGTGGCCAGCAGCCAGCGAGGGGACTCGGGGAAGACCGAGGCACACCTGGGAACACGCGCAGGAAAACTCACGGTGAAGGCGGCTCTGTCACAGGCCTGCGGCCACAGCATTCTACATCAGGTGTCCAACACCTTTCATGCCATGAGTTCTTCTGGAAGGTTAAATCAATCAAATCAACCAATGACCACAAAAGATTAAAAATAATCTAGAATCCTTGCCCCATTCTGCTTTTGTCCTTAAGAAGTTAACTAATTCTCTTCTAAAGGTATTTCACATTAGAAAATAAAAATCACGAGGAATCGCCTCTAGTTTTTTAAGCAATTGAACCATTTTTTTCTTCTCTTTTACTAACAAAGATATTCACAAGCACGAGACGCTGCAGTTTCCAGAACGTTGTAAGAGAGTCCTGAAAGACAGACCACCACTAGGGGGTGCCAGTCGCTGACTCACCACCAATAGGAAAGCAACATCAGAAGAGGCAAGGTGACCACCGCCTGCAGGACTGGCCAATCACGGCAGAGCACCGCCAGCCCCGGCAACAGCAGCTCCCCACACACTGCCAGGAGCCCACCAATCACAGTGACCATGAGGCGGTGTGGTGAGTCACACAGCTCCAGTCCTGAGCAACAGATCCAATGAATGATGGCGTGAGAAGATGGGACACAAGGTTACCATATATTGAACAATGCATCAGCTAGTAAGGTTAGAGCACGTATGAAACAAATACTCTTAACTGCAATTCCTCAAAGGAAAAACAAAAACCTTTAGGAGCTGGCCTTGAACATAGTTTGCAAGTTCTGCCTTCCTCATTGACTCCTGCAAGGAATACAAAGCCCATTTCCTTCTTTATTGTTATAATTTCCTTAGGCTGATGCATTCCAAGTTCTAATGCACAGAAAATTCCAGAAGCCCCCACCCCAAGACACACTGGGTTGCTTAGCGTCTGGACTCAATTACCAGTGACCTCAGTGGAATGTGTGCAATTCATAATCACAGGTCCTGTGTGCCTCCCTCTTATCGCTGTACCTGACACAAGTTGCTCCACACTGGCCTTAACAGTGAAAAATCATAGAAATGGCAGACCTAGACAAACATTCACGTCACCAAGATTTCTTTTACTTCTGTTGCAATGTTGGCAATTTAAGCAAGAGCAGGCTGTTCAAACACAGAAAGCGTAACCAGCCCTGGAATAGAATTGCTCAAGATTTCACTGTATTCTCACGTATAGCAACAATAACACTAATCAGCAATAACCTGACACAGGAGTTTGCACCCAGGATCCTCAAGACCCAAACAGTCTACTGGTTTATACTGCAGCTGAACTCTGACCCAATTAACTGCCATTTAGCTGAACTCATTCAATCAGTTGCTTAATTAGGAGAACTGAATATGCTCTCCAGACCTCCACGCAGTGATCAAACCAGGCTATCAACGAAAACCGCACATCTCTTGGACCAAGGATACAGATTTTCTCTGGTTACCATCACTGAACCTTAAAAAGAGCTTCCTTGAAATTCAGCGTTTCAAACGGACAAGGCTGAGATATGTAAACATGCCTTGTGTTTTGGAGGGCACCAATGCTACAGGGTGCTTTGGCTGTTTTGTCAGAGGAACACACAGGAACACAGGGGTATTTGAGCTTGTTGGTGTAGGCCAGTGTGCCACGCACGAGGGGACTCACTGGTGACGTATGAAGACAGGAAGAGACCGGCCAGATTGCCCCCCTGGGAGAGCCGCAGCAGCAGGAACATGGCGGGGCTGATGGACACACACACGCCAAAACCCAGCAGCCCAGAGAGCACCGCCGAACACAGGAACACCCGCCGCCGGCCCAGCCTGCCAACACAGACAGTGGCTTCAAAATGTACAGAACATAACCTAAAACAGAATTTGATTCACTGCTTTGTCCCTTATTTGCACTTTAACAGTGGTCTATACTATTCCTCAGTATAGTGCAGAAGGTGGTGAAGTCGAGCCAAGTTCATTACCAGCTGTGAGCTACATAATATCCAGGATATCTACTTAGCTAGATGTCTTAAGAAGGTCAGGTCTATTCCCAAGGACCCCAGTCATCCAAGTCATCCATCCAGTAAGCGGTATCGAAGCATTCAGATAAAGACCAGCAGATTATGGAACAGCTTATACCTCCAGGCAATAAACTTCAGCAACCACCCTAACGGTCTTTGTTAAGTGGCCAGGTTACATGGACAAACCGTTTTCTATCGTATCTGGCACACTGCATATTGTACTATTTGGACATAATGTATTGCATACACCTTGGATATGTAGCAGTTCTATTTATATTGAGTTTTTTTCATTCCATTTTTATTGCCCTATTATGATGTAACTTTAATCTGTAACTTTTAATTTTGTGATTTCTATTTTTTTCCCCCCCGTTGAGCTTGCAGAAAAGACGTTTCATCCTCAGCATTTACTGCTGCACACTGTATTGGTGTGCATTTGATAAATAACTTGATTGACGGATTGATTATGTACACTACAGAGAGGCCCTGTAAGAATTTGTACACCCTATTCCTTCCAGGTCAAGGCAGTGCAAGCTGGTTTTAACAAAATTATCTGCTACATTCACACTCAAAAGAATGCATATTCCAGTCATTTGTATTACAGGATGGTCAGCAGAGGATGTTTTTTTCTCCTGTTTGCCCTTAATTATTAGCTCTTGGTTATTTCCACACTCTTAAGTCCATAATTCTAGCTAGTAAAGATAATATTTTTTACAAAAACTGCCTGGGAATACTGCCTCTTAATAGGAGACACCAGTGGGATAATTCTTACCCAGTCCTGCTCTGAGTTATATTCCACAGGGTGCGCGATAGCTTACCGGTCACAGACACAGCCCAGAAGTATATACCCCAAGATCCAGCCAGTCATGAAGCAAACTTGTTCCAGAGGGACTTTCCAGAAGCTGTCACAGACCAGGTCCCACTGTAGACAGACAGACAAGGGGGGTCACAACAGGACTTCTAGTGCACCAACGAGATCTAGAAAGGAGAAAGGCTATGTGGCTCAGAAAAATGAATGTCAGAAGAGTATGGAGTGATTTTGAAACGAAGCAAGACTGTTAAGTACAGTTACATAGGGGGCTATATTAAACCCACCGTCCAGCAGGGTATGAAGATACTGAACAGCACCAAAAATATCATGTCTTTTCAATGCTCTTAAAGTACACAAGCAGCTGGTTAAAAAAGAACCACTTTCATCAAAGAAAAACAATAGACGTTGTTTTGTTAATTTAACCTTTTCCACCTTACACTGCCTTACTTTCTTCTCCATAGCTCACCACATTAAACACCAGTAAATAACCTTATCACAGCTAGCTGTTGCACAAGATCCTGTTCTTAATTTTGACTTGTCTTTGTTCTCCAGGAGGAAATACTCCTGCCAGAACATCAGGCCCTCAGAGGCAGAAGGAACAATGAGGCAGTGAACTCACAACACAGAGACACCAGGAGGACTGGGGCTGGAAACCACAGTGCTTCCTGCCTGGCCAGGAATTAGAAGAACAGAAAATGTATGAATGTACAGTGACAACAGTCTGCTGGGCCAGCTCTCGACAAAAGCACATCAGTCAAACTGGTTGAAGGGGCAAGTTCCTGACGGTTGACACGCGAGGAGCATAGAAGGAAAATGCGAGATCGGATCTCAGTTTATTTCTTGAAGCTAGCAACCTCCACAAGAACTCAGAAAACGTGTGCACCGAAGGAAAGGTTATCTGCGCTGGTGCTCCAGAGGCAAAAGCAAGAAGTAAGAAAAACACCACTCCCACAAAGACAAGCAAAGAAGAAAAAGCAGATGTGTGCTAACAGATCTGACTGTACTATGCAAAGGAACAAGGTTTATTCCATGCAGCAACGCGAAGAAAAGAAACACAATGTTTCAGCTGTGGAGCCTTCTTCAGGTGTGAAAAAGAGTGAAATCCAAATTCATTTCTTCTCTTTTCAGCCTGGAATAAACCTTTACTTGTTCCTTTGCAGCCTACACATGCTGACGCAGCTGCCTACTTGAACGGACTGTACTAGGGCTGACGATCATGCCTTGGACTCTAGCAGGGCAGGGAGAGCAAACAGTAAACACTTATCACCAAGCCTTCTCTCTTTGTTTTCTGCACGACAACAGATCAAAGGCACAATCAGACAGTCCAGTGAAAGGAATTCTAGGAAATTTGTGGTAGAAATTCTACATCGGGGGAAACTCACTCACAGCCTCTTACTGTGATCCACTACACTGCACAGATCAGGCCTTGCTGTCCACATGTATAAAAAGAGAAAGACAGAAAAGAATGAAGAGGGCTCAGGGTTAAACACTGCCAGAACAGGATTGTCTTATTTAGTGGGAAACAAAACAAACACTGCTATGTTTGCTCTCCAGTACAGGTGCGAGGGGCCGTTAGACAGCAGCATTACAATAGGACGTGCTAAAGACAAAACATTTCTCCACGTATTGACAATTTGATAGAAACGGCCGGATAGCTGCTGCAAAGCTTGCAAAACCTTAGTTAAAAGACAAAAACAGTGTAGGGATCTCTTCTTCTTCAGTTTTACTCCTGCGAATAGTTACACAGAAAAATAGAACTTACTTTTTTTTTTGACTGGCGTCAATCTTAAAAGATTTACAGCTGGACCAAAAAAAAACAAACATTGCTTAGTTACAATTTAGAGACGTTTCAGCTACAAAACAAAATGACCAAAACACGTGTTTCGCACGCTGTCAGAGCGCTGAACAACTTCAGCTCACTGCGTTAAGGATAGGTTAAATCATCCCAACACACAAACTACCAGGACAGCTAATTAAAAAAAATATTCCCTTGCTATACTTTTCACCTAATAAATAAGAAGCACTTGTATATAACGTGTGCATCTGAAAGTAAGAGTCTTGAGTGATCAAGAAGTTTCAAGAAACAAAAACGTCATACGGGCTGTTTCCACATTTTTTCTCCACTTCACACATTTCCCCACCTCATGTAAACACACACGAGAAAATAAACTAGAATGTGGCTGTTTACGTACCTCAGTAACAAAGTTGCTCTCAAGCCCAGCCGCCTCCGTGTATTCCCAACCCACGGTACACGAAACAACCCCGTCCGAGAGATCCTTGGTAAAATTGGAGACATTCGCCGGGTACCTGTACAGTTCACAGCGACTCAGCCCGGTCTCCCTCGCCCAGGGTATGGTGAGGTTAACGAGCTCTTGTGCGGACAGGTTGCGGTACTGGAAAGCGGCTGGGAACAAGGACGGATCCCGCTTACAGTGGTAAGATCCAGGGACCGACGTGAAGAACAGCTCGGAGCAGAGACTCAGCGCTACCGCAAAGCTGGGGACCCAGGTGAAAGCAGCTACCAGGCGGTTATAGCGACCGAACCCCCCGATCTGGGGGTAGATCCTCGTCTCAAAGTCCATTGTCTGCTGAGCGAGTGCGCTGCTAGCACAGCTGGTCAACTCGAAAGTGTTACAAAGCCTTTTGGGGAAGCATGTGACCAATAGCTTAAGGGAAGGGTTGGTCTCTGCGCCGTCAGTGGGAAGAGGCTTTCTGCTCGTTGACTGTGTTCACCTGTCCTTTCTCCACACACTTGGCCTACCTCTAAATTCAACTGCGAAGTTCACAATTGTTACTTCAGTTGCGCAGACGGCAAAATATTGCTTTCCACCATTGCTGGCGTCATCGCCTGTATATAATGTCTCAACATTACTAGTTATGTTCTTTAACTTGATGAACAAGCATTTTAAAAGTCTTGTCTGCTGCGGTTTACGTGGGAGACCATAACGGGGTTTGACGAGCTGGATAAAACAACAGCTGATCACTTAGCAATCGTATATTTTTAGAATCTCGGTACCGGTTCAGAAGATGTTTTATTCAACTCCAACAGCTTTAAACTATTTTGAAAACCCAAACACGTTTTAATGCGTCAGGCTAAGCTCCCATGAGTTTACCTTCATAGACATTTAAAGATCGCGTCTCGCTCTATTACCATCACAAATTTAAACCATATAAATCGTATTCCACATCTGAAGGGGATATACCTGATTTGCTGTGCTTCCCAATCAGAACACATGCTGGTCTAAAGTCAATATGAAACTTCGAGCTAGTATCCAGCTCAGTTGATTTCATACTCTGTGCTTAATATTAAATATTTTCCAGTGCTATACATTTCTTGCTGCATTATCAAAACTACATTAGACTAGTGGTGTAAATGGTGTTCTAGCATCTTTGGAATCTATGCAAAGTGTACACAAGAATTACTGAACCTCCCGAAGTGAAACTTTCATAACTCGAATGTTTTTGAGCCCTTCAAGAGCAGGTAGCGCTCATCACGGCTTTTCACCATCAGCTGAAGACGACTGCCCTCTTCTGGAGAGTTATAGACATAACTTCAGTAGCGACGGATTTTAAAACTACCAATACTTAATCGTTTTACAGAGACCACAGCAACTCATAACCTGAAAAGGACTTAAACGTTTTGAAATGTTGTAAGATGGTCTTTGTAAAATTATTTTTTTAACCATTTCAAAACTGTTGTTTATATCACAGGACTGCAAAATATGAATAAAGAAAAGATATAAATCTTGGGTATGAAAATTACTTTCAGCTGCTTTAAGGTTCTGTGGTATCAGCAACCTGAAATTCTTCCAAAACCTTCCAGGCCAGGATCACATCATACAGGTAACCTGGAACACAGATTCTTGCCGACTGTACTGAAGTGACTGGAAAAGACATGGATTGCAAAATTGCATGCAAAAAAAGCTGAGCAAGAAGGTTAATACACCCTGAAATGCCACACTGTATGATATTCTGTTCCTTAATCATGTACCAGACAGGCAGACTAAAAGTACACCTGCCTGAGGTGCAGGCTTATGCTCATGACAACACTAAACAGTTTAAAAACAAGGAAACCGAGACTCAAAAAGTATTTTAAAAATTTATTTACGAACATAATCTCTGAGGGACAAACAGCATTTCTCGCGCTCTCTGTACATGCAACTGTAGAAAATAACATTTTTATTTTATTTTTTTTCTTATTCTCAGTTAAGTTTTTTTCATTTTTTTGCAGGAAATCATACAGCTAGAGGTGACAGTACTGGAACTGTAGCAGCACTGACAACAGCATCAACAAACCCCATAGCTGCTCCAACAATATGTACACAATTAAACTACATTGTACAAAAAAATTACATTGTTACATCACCAACAGCGCACTGTCTCGTCGCTGTTTTAACCCCACATTCTACGCAAGTTTAGACTAGTACAAAGAGAAGGGTGCAAAACGTCCTGTGAGTTATTTACAGCTATATACAATGTCTCATTATGCATTACAAGAGGGAAATTTACACAGCAGAGACTTGACTCCAACATACCACAGGTGTCAGAAGATAATAAATATTTTTTCACCATTTAAAGAGTAGTTCTCCATGCTTTATTAATTTTTAAAACACAGCTACTTTCCGGTTTAGGTTAATACAAAAAAGAACATATGCAAGGCTTGAAATTGTGATGCACATTTTGAATGTTCAGTATTATTTTATGTTAGACGTTTAAAGACCAAATTAACATTTTAGCAGTAGAGGTATGACATTGCAGATGAAACAGTAGTCACAAAAAACAGACTTTAGCTGACTGCTAAGTGCTTTTAATGGAGAGGAAGGTCAGTACCTGTTGTCGTGAAACATGACACTGTAATGATGATGCATTAATGGGCATGATCTATGGAGAAAAAAATACTAGCTGAAGCATTCTTTTCCATGAATAATGAAGAATGCATACCAATCTGAAAACCTAATTTGTCATGTAAATGCCACTGAATTTGCAAATGTCAGCAAACATTTCCTATATCCTAATGACACAAATTACATACTCTTGAGTAAAAAGAGTGTGACAGTCTATCTGGAAAATCTTATGTGAACCAAGTAGCCTGTTTTTTGGGGGGTCACTTGCTGGACTAGAAAAAGAATCAAGAACACTAATAGAATTCTACCAGCTCTAAGAGAAATAATGTTTTTTTTTTAACGCTAACAAAAGACATTTTATAGTGGGTACATATCAATTTCCACCTCTTGAAAGCCCTACATTGAAAGGTGGTTTTCATTACAGTCAGAGAAATGGAAGCAACAGTTTAATACATACTGAAGTCTACACTTTCCTTGGTAAACAGTCTTTCAACATTCATCTTCACAATTTCAAGCCTTTATAGGAAAGAAATAAAGGCAGGGCTCAACTTTTGAATGACAAAATAGATGATTTATGTCTTGTAAACAACAGTAGGAAAGAGGACAGTGACAGTATACATTCTGTTATAAGCAATGTGACAACATGCTACACGTGTTTATGCTTCATACCAGAATACAAGACTATATAGACATCAAATTTTAAATACCGTTTGAAAATGCACAGACATACAGAATTCATTCCAAACCATAAATTTTCTCTTGGTGCAGATGTCAGTTTTTGATTTAAATTAGCATCTTCAAATAACATTTGTGAAGTCTGAGTATTTGTGCATATATCCAATGGCCGAAATCAGAGATCTTACTCATGATCTGCTTGGAGTTGAGAATATGCTACAATTAAACTTTGTGTGGATGTGTGAATATATAATAAAGGTGCAACACAGTTTTGATCAGCTCGCTGTCACCTAGATCAGCGTATTTGTATACTTACAAAAGACAACATAAAAATAGCATTCAAATAAATGTTAGTAGTGGAGAATAAAACAATACAATCATTTTGAAACAATGCATTTAGTATTTTCTGGGACCAAAGAAGAAATTTAATCAACTTAAAAGAAGATAACATTGAAGCACTGAAGTACAAATACTGACTTATTTTATGAAGATCCTATTATTTATACTATTGTAGGAATTCTATGCATCTGAGCTTTTGACTTTATTAGAAAAAAATCTAAAATGAGAGCTACTTAAAACTGCTGCACCCTTATACACGCATGCATATATGCACACGCAGACGCACCCAATTCTTACAGACCCACCAAATATAAAAAAGGGCACCGATTTACATTTTTCTGAAATTTGCAGGACAGTTCCAATGCTCTGCGTTATTGGCCCAATTATATATTTCAACCTGTTCAGAAAACTACACCTCCACTGATTACAAAAATACAGGCCTCAGAAACTGCAACAGACCAGATAGGTGGCTTATATTTTCATTTACCCAGAAGTACCAGACAGGTAACACACACAGCTCAGCCAGTGCGTGATCTTATGAGCTCAGGCGTGCGGAGAGTTCATATGGCTAAGAGTCATTCTGAACAAGCCAAGAACGATCCACCAAGACAGACAAAAACAGATTAAGACGACTGCCCTAAATGTAACAACCAAGATACTGAAAACCTTAATCACACCTATGGTAATTACGTGGACTGAAATAATGGACAAGCTTGTTTTCTCCACACTCCATTTTGCACCTTTTTCTGCATATGAATACTGTGTGTCTGTACTTACAAAACCAAATAAAAAGCATGTTGGGAATAGGCAAAAATGGGTTTTTGTCCTGACTGAGCCCCACAGTTAAACTATTTGAACAAGAGTACATGATACAAGCAGAATAACCGTTATAAACGCAAAGATAAAAACAAAAGAAACCATAACATTCACATAGACTTGACGATTATATATTCTCTTTATGGTTTAAAAACAGGTACAACAGCTTACTAAAAAAAAATGCAATGAACACTTACATATTAGTGTAAGGTGGACTGCCTTTCTTTCACCAACCTCTAATCCTTTTTCATTACTGCAATAAGGTTTTTGGTTGAAAATGTACTTTTTGAGTATTTTGGGTCTAAAATGAATGGTTAAAAAGTCCAGCATTAGAGCAGTAATTCCAAATCAATGAGTGTTTATTTTAAAGTCTGTATGGCTCACAAAGATTTTTTTAATAAAGCAAAATCTTGTACTTCTAAAAAAAGCCAAAACGGGTGATAAAGTTGAATAAAAAGGCCAAACCATGAAACAAACAGCTACTTTTTTTTTTAATGTGTGCGTGACACAAAAAACAGTTGTTGCTTTTCGATATCTGATGAAACCTGCATTTCGTCTTTAGAATGTCAATACCAAGGTAACCTACATGTTGTCTATACTGAAAATTCTTAGAATTAAAAAAAAAGTTTTGTTAGGGGCCTCCTCAGCATCTCAACCTGCAACGGCACTTAAGCAGCAGTCGAACTCGGGTTCGAATCTGTATGAGCTCTGTGCCATGGGGGTAGAGTTGATATAGACCCTAGAAGCTTGGTGCTCTGAGTAACGAAAGAGCCTCTCCAATAAATCAGCACCGCACCTCAGGTACAGGCCTGTGTTGTACAGTATGTGGCATGTTCAAAATGAGTGACTCAAAGGTAGGAAGGACAGAGGAGCCAGCCTACACATCAGAATCCTCCATTGACTTTGTCTGTCCGGTTTGTAGACAGGATATGAAAATCACAATTGGCTATTCCAAATGGATGTGACAAAGTAGTCTATTTTAAGAAAAAAAGTTGTTATAAAGAAAAGCTATAACAACTGAAGTATGACAACTGTGGTTATTTTTTTGCATCCTCTAGTAGTGAAGTGATACTGAGGCCTACAAGACCAATAGACAGCAAATAGATCAATGGAAAGGTATTGTTAAAATTTTAAATTAAGGAAGAACAAATTAAGGCTGAAATATACTGAAAGATGGCCGAGTTGGGTGAGTTGTGGCATTTTTTGTAAGAATACAAACATTTGAAATGCCACTAATTTTGATTGTGTCAATCAAATGTTTTAAAATTACATATGTACTTATACCCATAACTGTTTTACGTCTATATATTGTATCATAATAAGGACAAAACAGATTAAAGCTAGGGTTATGAAGAAATAACTTGACTGCTGGAAAAACGCCATGCAGGGTCTTCAGTATAAAACCAAATTAATATGAAGGTATGTTTAATATATTGAGTGCTCAGTGAAAGAGAGGCATTGACAATAATAAAAATTCAGGAATCTAAAAAAATCAGTATTATCCTTGGTTTTAGAAATTACAACCATACTTACATATAATTTATATATATAACCCCGTTGATTAATAGAACAAGCTCAAACCTGGATTTGCTTTCATAGTTATGATTAGGGGTCTACTAAACTCGCAGAGACTTATACTCATTGACTGGTTACAGCAATAATAGTAAATGTAGGAGGTAATTTCTTAATATTCTTGAGTAATACAATAGATGGAACAATCCAAAAGCTTAGAGAAAAGGTTTAGAAATCTAAGCCTTTACTAGATGCTACCTGTGCTACTGCTTTGAAATAGATTATCCATTGTTTTTCTTAAAATATGACGACAGCAGCAAAGTCTTCCATTAGTTCCACTGTTGCCTCTCCTCCGGCTACACTATTTTTGTCCTTTAAACATTGAACACAGTCTAACTTAAGGATTCGCTGGGGGTTGTTACATCGCCAGTAGACCTGTTTGAGACAATTCCAAAGCCAAATGCTACTGATTTTATGCTTCTCTGAACCAATGAAAAGTCACAACGGAAGATAAAGTATTTTACCACAATCTGCATGGAAACGTTCCGCTTATAATTGCTTCACACGAAGGATACATACTTAGCTTGATTGGATGGTATCACTTTACATCCTATACAATCATCTGTCCTTTCAACTTGACTGTTTTCCCTGCCTGTTGGCAGGCTCACTTTATAGGAGTTAACAATAGTTAAAACAGAGGCTCTCAAAGATCCACTGGGCAAAATCGCATTGTCAAGGGAATCAAATTTAAGAAGTAAATTTTGAAAGTTAGTTTCACTGGCCATGTGATTTCATCTCTGTGAAATTGCGAATTGAGTAGACCCCTAGTTATAAATGCCACGTACATATGCATAATAATTTATGGTGTTCTGAATTCTTAGTATTATGTAATGTCTACTACAATGTAGCAACAATAGTTTCTGAATTCTAGATTTGTAGCATGGTACCTTTATTTACACAATGTATGAGCAGATTAACAGCTGACTATAAAAGGCATTTTCTTGGTTTTGAAATATTTTGTCTTAGCAAAGCTTATTTTTATTATTTTTTACATTATCTCATAACCATTCTGCTACATCTGAAGAATATGATTGCAGTTGTTACAGTCTGATTATTGTTCAAAGAGTGCAGGGGTTTCTAACAAAGTAATTTTTTTATTCTTAACCACTTGTCTAATTGCTCACCTGCAATCTAATGAATGTGGGGTGTCTGTCTCAATTCTGTGCACGGGAGACTCTTTAAAATACTGAAAATGTGTACATATTTTGGCCCATGTTATAAGGGAAAAGTGCTGCCCAAAAGTGAACTGTACATACAAAGATAATTTTTATTTATTTCTTTTTACATTTAACTGAGAGTGATGTTACAGTACATAAGTTATTTACAACTGTGCAGTAATGTGTGGCAAAATAAATTATCTAGAAGGCAGCGAGAATACATTGGTTAACGTATATAAAAACTGTACAGAATTTACGGGATACATTTTTTTTTCATTTTTTTTCCTTTAAACTAATATTGGCTCTGTAGTGTTTCAAGTCACTTTCTCAGAAAGAGAAACAATGAAATGCCCAAGTAAAGAAATATAGACCAAAAAAGAGAATATACTCCATTAAAACTTTTTTTTCTCTGAATGCAGTCTTTTCCTCTTGAATTCCAACATTCTTCTTTGCCTTATGCAGATGTTTGCGGTGGACAGGTGTTGAATACTTAGTTGTGAAAGAAGTAGAGGCCGATTTAACCTGCATGCAAACTTGTGATCACCACTTCCTCATTTTCTCGTCAGATACAGCATCTGTGTCCACGAGATCTATCCTGTGAAGCTGAAGGTGTCAAGTATTGCTTCTAACCAGAGATTCATACATGTATACACACCTCTTAAAACTCCCCATGCGATTCTCTTTAATTTTCCAATTGGATTGCATGATACAGTCCGTGGATGTTTGCTGTTACTTCCAAAAATGTCACGGAGCAGCTGCAGTAGAGAGAGCAAGGGGAGATGCTGAGCACAGTCACTGAATGCTTCTATAGTAGCTCTGAAGGGCAGTATTAATAGGCTCTCCACTAATGTCTGTATGCATCCCACCCCTTTTTCCTCTTGCTCTGCTGGCTTCTCTGTTGCCGCCTTCTTTTCTCTGGCTCCGATCTGCATTTCTGCAAGTTGTTTTTTTTTAGTTTTATTTTTTTGGGAACAAAAAAAAACAAAAAAATGAAAATCACATCCTCCCCTTTACAAAAAAAAAATCATACGGAGAGGGCAGCTTAAAAGCATAGCCATCTGCTTTATCAAAATGAAAGCATCAAAACTTGTAGGGTAAAAGTGCAATTTGTGTTTTCCCGGTAAAAAGATGCTTCCTCCTTTTGTCCAAGGGATTCATTAGCAAGTTTATTTAACGTATTTTCAAGAAAGTATTCCTTTTCAAACTGGCTAGCCCTTACCATACGTTCTGTTTGTCTTTTACCAATTACAGTTTTGAGTATTCCTGTCACGCGGGCAACAGCACAAAGTCATCATTGACGTCGACCATTGGCACGTAAAATGAAGGGACCTCATTTACACAGAGAGATTTGTGTCCTGCAGGGTCCAGCTCCTGCACTTTGAGTTGCCACTCCATCCTCTGAACTGCATTGAGTGCAGCTGCTTCGTGCTGTTGTCTCATTAACAGGCAGGTCTAATTAAAAAAATAAATGCAAGTCAGTCAATGGAAATCAATGTCAAGGGAACAAAAAAAAAATCAGTAGTCTACCCACTTGAGTGATCATGATCTTTGTTCCACACATGGGTCTTACTCAAGTTCATGAGTATAAAGTGACACCACAAAACGTTTTGACTTTGATGTTGGTTTAGGTTGTCTGCTCAGACATGGCACCATGTCCTAAGCCACACATCTCCCTGAATCAAGACTCGGTACAGTGCCATTTTTATATGCTGAATCTGCTTCTAAACTCTTATTTTGCCCAAATAATGACAAAAAAGCCTAAATCTGGTGATTTTTCTTGCAAATAACATAGCTGTTTACAATATAAATACAGTGCTTTAGCAACATCATTACTTATATTATGAATGAATATAGGATTCTGTTGAGATGGGCCTTAAACTGAAAGACACTCATTTGTAAATTAAGCACTATTTTTTCCTAGAGTGAAAATCAGTGCTTAAAACCCATCACTGACCAGCTACTCACTTTAAAACCAAACTGGAAATTATTTTTTAAACAAATTAGTAACATTGTTTAGTTTCTCACAGTCAGATCATTAACAGGAACACTGAAGATCTGATCAGTACTGCACATTTACTGTGAGCTTGAACTACACGCCAAGTTCCATCTAAAAAAAGCTGAATTTAGCAATTAAAATCTTTTATTTTAATGGCTGAATAAGTTACCGGTTAACTATTTAAGCATTACATTTCTAGGCTAACAATCCCAGAAAATCAATCCTTCTCTGCAAAAATACAAATAATATTAAGACTGATCCCATAACAGAGACATTTCAAATGAAACAGAAGCAGTGCAATACTTACCTTCATTCGGTCATATTTGTCATCTACATCTTGGATCCATGATATGAACTGTCGGGCGTTAAAGCGATCTCTCACAGACTTGTTTTCATCACCCTATTTGAAAACAAAAAAAAATGTCTCTTCAGTTAGACTTCTATGAATCAGATTTTTACATGTTAGAATTTTAGAATTCTATCCATTAGAAACGCTCTGTAAAAACTGGGGTACACACCATGTAAAACATGTATTTAATAATGAGAAACGTTAGAGGCACCTGGAAGTATTTTGTATAACACTTAAAAAAAGCAATCTCAAACCACTTCACAATGCTTTAAATTACAAAATTGAAAAACTAATTAAAGAAAATACCATTAAGATTACAAAAACCAATTAACATTTCAATCCAGATTTAAAAATACTTTATGCGGATGACTGTCTTAATTATTCTAGGACAGTGTAGCAGAGGTTTGGGGTACAGCACAGTGTAGAGAAGCTACAGGAACACACAAATCAGAATCTGCAAAGTGAAAGTCACAGCTAAATACTGAGGAGTGAATTCAAAAAGCTTTGGATGTAAACAAGAGGATTTTAAAATTAAGTTGACACTTGTTTCAATCTGACAAGTAATTCATTACTTGTACATGAACTATTTAGGATTCTAGATTCTGAATATATAACTTAAGCATAGTTTTGGAGGCAGCTGCAAGTATCAAGTTATAAAAAAATGATAATTAAAATGCTTGAAAACTCCAAACCAGTTTTTCCACAACAGACTAGAGCATAGTTAATTTATGCATGTATCACATCTCAATGCTATTTGTTATGTGATAAGAGATATCGTCTTAGGCAATCATGATACTTAATATCTTGCCTAAGACTACAATTATTCATTATCTGCCCTCTACCAACACTCACCTGAGTCTCTGAAGGCATATTATAGACCTCAGAATCCAGAAGCATGGTGCAGGCACTGAAGGGCACAGCCTGGTTCGCTATCGTTCTTGCTGCTCTGCAGTGAACTCGGAGGACTTCCTGCTCGCATGAAACTATCAGCTTTTCCTGTAAAACACAGGGGAAAGGAGATTTCCCATTGATGTAACTCTTCAACCAGTTGCTTAACACAGAGGTAGTACCCATGGAGCAGTAAATTGCCAATGTAGTTCCTGTCCACAAGAAGAGTGACAAAACTGCACAAGGAAATTATACAGGCTTGACTTTTATTACATAAAATGCTCTTGGAACAATTATGAGAAAAACTAAATAGGATCAGATACAATGAAAAATTCCAAATTTGACATGTTTGGGCTTCTCCAACCTATCTGACCAAGTTCTTTGAACAAACAACAGTACTAATAGAAAAGGTAGAATAGAAAGGCTATTACATATGTACTTTTTTGGGACAAAGTACATATTTAAACATACTAGAGGTGGTCCAATTAGGGAATTTGATCATTAAACTAGAAAACTGAAAACAGTACAGATGCATATGAATGATCAGACTAGGTTGACAATTAGTGGAGTACCACAGGTATCTGTACTGGCACCACTGCTCTTTCTAATTTATACCAATGATCTAGATCCTGGAATAGTTATTTAACCAAAATAACCAGATTAGCAAACACTGTAGAAGCAGAACATAAAATTAAAAAAGCAGCGAAGAAGAGCTTACCCTCTCTATGCTGTGTTGAAGCCTCAGTTTACCTCGGACAGCCTCCTGCTGCCTGAACAGCTCTTTCAGAGGCTCAGACAAAGAAGGAGGAGGAGCAATCTGTAGAAACAAAAATAAAAAAAAATGAACCCTACAGATCTTTAATAAGCTATTCCATTTAAAACATTTAAAAACTTTGTTGAAACATGAAATGGGAAGAATAGTTCTCAACTACCATTTGAAAGTTTTACCTGGGAAAAGTGAGCAACATTTTCATCTATTTCAGGGTGGCGGGGGAGCCGGAGCCTATCCCAGCAAGCAATGGGCACAAGGTGGGAAATACCCTAGACGCCAGACCATTACACAGACACAAACGCTCACAATCAAACCAGGACCAACCTTCTCAAAAGCCAATTAACCTACCAGCATGTCTTTGGACAGTGGAAGGAAACCAGAGTACCTGGTGAAAAACCCCACAAACACAGGAAGAACATACAGACCTCAAACATTTAGCCCAGTTGAACTTGGTGCCAGCAATGCTAACCACAGCACCACCATAATTAATTATAAGTCAATCAATTTGCAGAACAATTCAAAATAAAGGAAAAAAAACAGTACCACAGGAATGTGGAGCTTGCTGAGGGGCTTGCCATCCAGCAGGTAAGAACCGGTGTAGGTGACATATTCAGCATAGCACTGAGGTGCCTGCGGTGTGATGTAACACAATATTTTCCTCTTCTCCTCAATCTTTTTCCGGATCTGCAGGTACTCAAAGTAGGGGTTTGAGCGGTCACTGTGGTAAGGTTCAATGTCATCTAACTTAATGGCATTAACAATGACTGCTAGTGTCTGTTGAATCATTTCCCGTGTCTGCTGCATGGTGGTGTTGACCAGCTGTGTCTGCACCTGCTGCTGATTTGACTTGGGAAACTTTCTTTTGCGCGGATGCTGTGCCTGAGCATCGTCCTCCTCTGCAGGCCTGCCTTTGCTCTTGCTGACCACAGCAGGCGTGGTAACACCAGCACTGGAAGTCGTGGTGGTAATGGACTCCTTTTCCTTATCTGCGGGAGCAGTGGTAGTGATGGTGTTGTGAAGAGGAGCAGATGATACAGTAGTTGCATTATTCTGCTTATTCTGGTTGGCCAACATCTGAGCACGGTTCCTGGTGATTCTCTGGGGAATCTCCTCCACCTTTGTTGGCCTGGGAGCCTCCACAGGGGTTGTGGTAACAGCAGGCTTGGGTGGTGTCTCATGGGCTTCTGAAACCTGCAACATACTTGGCTGTGTAACCCCAGATCGCACTGGCACAGAATGAACAGGATTAGACTGAACGCCTGTACTGACAGGAGCCTGGGTATTATTTGCCTGATCCATGGAAGCTTCAGTGTCATATCTCGGAGCATTACCAACAGGTAAGGACTCATCTGCCACTGAATCCTGTATCTCATTCTCATGATTGTTGTCTGCATCAGCTTGCTCACTCTGCGAGATGGAAAACTGCAGATTTCCATCGGTTTCATCATTCTCTTTCAAAGTTGGCGTCTCTTCTGGAACGCCAATACCAATTGCGTCGTTCTCTGGAACTTTCTGTGTTTCAGATTCCTGTTCCTGCTCTGACTTATGGTCTTCAGAAATGGTGAACACATGAGGTGCTGATTCAATCAGAGGCACAACAGCTAGAGAGGAAGGGGTTTCATCTTTATGGACTGGGAAGTCTGCCTCCATAACATCAGAGTCATCCTTTACCTCAGCAGTCAGTGATGCAGTTTGAGCCAGAGGAGTTTTGAAGTCTGGCAATTCTGGATCTGCTATATCAGGATCCTGCATTTCCTTATCTTGAAAAGGCAATTCTGGGAGAGAAAAAGGACCCAAATCTAAGTCATCTACTGTGCTAGAGAATGGGTCTGCCCATGGCACTACTGGGTCATGGCTTGGAAGAGGGGCCATGCTGCTCTCAGCCATATATCCACTTTCTAAATTAGACAGGGTATCTTGTCGGTTCTCCGTTGTTAAGCAAGGAGTGTCTGGAATCAACTCACTGCGTTCAGGGAGGGGCTTGCAATCTGTGAAAAATGATTCCAGTCTGGAAGTGGAGGTCATAAGGTTAGATTCAGGCTCAACAGATGCTATAATGGGCTTTGACTGAATGGGTGTTTCATCCACACTGTCTTTGTGTCCTTCAAAGTCAGGCTCTGAAATAGGCACAGGAAAAGGCGTGGGGGACATAGGGTAGGGTGGTGTTGCTGAAGTATGGCAGCTGAGTGATGTGGGAAGGTGCTGCAAGTTTTCTTCAGCAAGTGTGAAGGAGGTGACCTTAGTGGAAGATGACAGATCCGCAATAGTCCTCTGAGGAGATTTCAAAAGCATCTCAGAATTTACACTCCAGCTGACCGTGGGTTCTGATGTGTTTTCCACCAGGCTCACTGGAGGCAGAGAAGGAAGCACCACTTCTGGATCACATCTTTCTGGAGATTCTGTCCAGTCCTTTTTGACAGTTTCTGAAACACAAGCCACAAAGGAGCTATCATCACCTGTGGTTTCTGCCTCCTCTGGTTCATGCTCTTCACCCTCATCTGCCCCTTCCTGCTCCACGTCTTGATCTTCTGCTTCTGGTGGCAGGAAATCACTGCCATCTGATGGTTCTGATGGAACATGACTGGGCTCACTTGGGGGCAACAGTGGTAGTGGCTGGTGTGGCTCTGAGGGCTCTTCTATATCTAGAGGGGGAAGAGCTGCAGGGGCAGGAGTAGGAGGGGCAGCAATGTCTACACAAGGTTCCTGAGGCTCAGGCCTATGCAATGGACTTGAAGGCTTGCTTAGGAAGTTGTTATATACACTGCCTTCTTGGAGGTTTTCCATGTTGTCTGTGGTAGTAATAGCAGTGGATGCACTTTCTAAAGATGGCTGAGCTGGTTCAAGTCTTGGTGAGGGCATTCCAACATTAGGTGAACAGCAATGAGGAGAGAGGCAATCAAGCCTTTCCACTGATACAGGTTTTTCTTCTGGGATATGTGGGACCAAGGAATCAATCTCAGAGGTGACTGGCACACTCTGTTGCCGGAGGAACTTATCAGAATCGATTTTAAATTCTTCTTCAGAAGCTCTTCTGACATCAACTGATGCTGATCGGTAGAGACTAGACATTGGAAGGCTCTTTGTGGGAGTTAAACAAGGATTCTCCTGGAAGCTGTTTGGTGCATTGGCATACCTGTCAAAGAAAGATGGAGAGCAAGCATTCATAGACATGGTCATAGCAGATGAGTTCTGAGAGTCTATACCATCGAACATGAGGTCAGGATAATCCTCTGCACTACATGATGGAGTACGAGGAGTCTGCATTAGTTCCTCATAACTTGGGCAGGATATAACTGATGTTGGAGTTGGAACACCAGTTGGCCGGTTTTGATCTGGTCTTGGAGAAGCAGGTAGGTTCTCCTTAATTTGATGACCTGCCAACCAATCTTTTGAATTCTGGCCATCAATAGGTTGCGACTTCCTGTCAGGGGACATCATTTGAGCTGCAAGTCCAATCTCTTTGGGTTTCTTTTCTTTTAGTGCAGACTCTAAAGAATTTGATTTCTTTGATGTCAAGTCAAGGCTCCTTTTACGAAGGTCATCGCTGGATTTTGCTTTGTCTTTAAGTTTGGGATCCCCAGACCTGTGTCTCAATTTATCCATCTGCTTCATTCTTTCTTTATGTCTTTTATGGCGCTCCTCAATTTCCTGGTCCTTTTGACTCAACATTTTTCCAAAACTAGTCAACCTGAGATCACCATCAACTAGCAGCTTTTCCCTTGGACGGCATTCTTTCCGAGATGCATCTTTGGACTGAATGGTCCTGTCATTCTCATCTTTTAACTTGGTCTTTACATACTCGGTACGACTGTCTTTGTCTGTGTTGTCTTTACTTCTATCCTTGAATTTTGCTTCAAATTTAGGAGTCTCTTCTTTAGACTTGTCTTTTAAAATGGTCACTTGGGGACTCTCTTTCAACGTGACTTCTTTTGAATGTTTGAAAGATCCAAAATTGTCTGTGTACTTGTGTTTTTCATCTTTAATTTTTTCTTTATGTTTGTCCTTCTTCTTCTTGTCCTTGTCTTTAACTTTTTCGCTAGTGACAACACTGCTGGCTTTATCTTTTTCAGCCTTTTTAGACATCTCTTTCTCAAACTCAAGGGTCTTGTCTATATCATCCTCTCCATCAGGCTTTGCTCCATAAGGAAAAGTGTAAGGATCAGCCTCTAAAGGCATTGGCTCTTTTTCAAAAGGCAAGCTTTCCCTTCGACCATAAATTTCCTTGATCTCTTCTGACTTGTCCCTCTTATCTGCCTTATCCTTCTTAACTTTGTCTTTTTCCTTATCGTGGCTCTTCTTGGAAGAAGAGGAGGAGGAATGTCTGTGTCTCTCCTTTTCCTTGAACTTGTCCTGAGGGTAGGATATGGAGAGCGAGTCTCTTCTTTCCTCAGAGATGTCAGGCAGACTCACACTGGAGGAATCATAGAAGCTGCTGAGTGGCGGCTCATGGCCCCTGTCTGTAAAACTGTCTGATGAGATTTCGCTGATTTTGTCATTGGAATCATCTTTGTAATCGATCAAAGCTTCCTCTTCAAGCTTTTCCAAGAGGGACTTCTCAGTTTCACCGTTTCCCTTGGACAGCTTCCTGTCCTTCAGGTGGTCTTTTTCTGGCTTGTCTTTGTACTTGCCCTTTGGCTTCTCCTCACTTGAATGCCTCTTGTCTGGGAGCTTCTGTTTGTTTTTCTTCTCCTGGTTTGAGTCTACCGATACCCGCTCCTTGCGTTCCTTATGCTTACCATCTCCAGAGTCCTTCTCTTTTTTATCTTTGTGTTTTTCCACAGAGGTTTTCTTATCTCTTCCACTGTCAAACAAGGATTTGTCTTTCTTTTTGTCTTTAGATTCCTTTTCCTTCTGTTTATCTGTGGAGTGCTGCTTTCCATCAGCGGAGTATTTTCTGTGTTTTTCTGTTTGGAAAAGCTCCACCTCATCTCTATCTGGAGTGTCAGACACTCTCATGGAATCACTAAATTTAACACCTCCCCCATTGTATTCCTCCTCTTCGTCCTCACTCTCATCGGTAAAGATGTCAGCAATTTTATACCAGGTCTTATCTCTACCCTTATCCGATTTTTTCTCTTCCTTTTTAGACTCCAAGAAGTCCTTATCCCTGTCACTATGTTTTTCCTTCTTGTCTTTGCTTTGGTCTGAGGATATTTTCCTCTCCTTGTCTTTTGTGTGGGAGTCCTTGTGTTTTTCTTTAGTCCCCTCTTTTTTCTCTCTAGAACTTCGGTCTGCATCTTTCTCTTTGGGAAGTTTCTCGGTGGGAAATTTTTCACTTTTCTCTTTCTCTGGCTCCATGAAGCTTCTTTCCTTCTCTTTAGGCTTGTCCTTGTGTTTGTCAGCTTTTGATTTTTCCTTTTTCTCCTTTTCCACACCCTCCCCCTTCTTCTCTTTGTCCTTTCCAGAGTGGTGCCTCTCCCTGGTCTCACCAAGCTTACCAGCACTCTCATTTTCAGATTTGTCTTTGAAGAAGGCTTCATTCCCATACTCTTCTCTTATGGAATCATCTTGCTTTGTTTTGGAATCTTTTCTTTCTTTTACAAACTCATAGGATTCTTTTTTCTCTCTACTGATCTCAACTGAATCCTTTTCTTTTTTCTCTTTGATACTCTCTGCAGATTCCTTCCTCTTTCTCTCCTTTTCTGATGGGTAGCTGGAGATCACCTTTTGTTTATCTGCTAAATCTTTTTTCTTTTCCCCACTTTTTTCAAGAATGTCCTTTTCTTTCTTTTTGGATGTTGTCTCTTTGTCATTCCGTTTTTCACTGTGTTCCTTCTTTTCTCTGACTTTATTTTCCTTCTTTCGATCTCGACTCTCTTCTTTTACGGTCTCAACAATCAGTTTGACAGAGTTGTTAGCTTTGTATTCTTTGTAGTCCTTTACAGGATTGTCCCAGCTATCATCTCCATAAAGCGAAGAGTCAGATGAATAATCTGAATTCCATCTTTCATGTGGGTCATCTGATGCACTCAGTTTGGTGTCCTCAAGTTCTAAAAAGCGATTCTTGATGTCAAATTCTTCATAGTCCTGCTCTTCCTTGGACACTTTTTCCTTTTTCGACTTTTCCTTCTCATCCTTGGTGGTTTTCTCTTTTTCTGATTTGAGATACTTCTCTTCTTTTTGATCATTCTTTTTATCAGTCTTGGAGGACTTATCTTTAGACCTTTTCTTTTTATCATCTTTGTGAGTCTTTTGTTTCTCTTCTTTTGGCTTTTCCCTGTCCTTTGCATTTCTTTCTTTGTCTGCCTTGAATGTTTTGTCCCTCTCTTCCTTACTGACTTTCTCCTTTGTGGATTCTTTTGCCTTCTTAGATTTTTCCTCTTTAGCAACTTTAGCAGAGGTCCAATCTTTGTCTTCAGACTTACCCTTGGATAATCGGTCTTCCTTTTTAAAATGTTCTTTGTCATGTCTGGAAATTTTGACTTTGTTTTCTGCAGAAGTCTCTGTCTCCACTATCAATGATTTTTGCCCAGTGTCATCAAAATCAAAGGTAAAGCTCTTGACAAACTTTTCATTCATGTCCTGATTAAGCACCAGGCTGGGAGCCTTTTCTTTCTCCTTGTTTTTGTGTTTGTGTTTTACTTTATGCTTTTTTAACACTTTGCCATCCTTGTCCATTTTGGAGACCGATCCATCAGTGTTGGAGTTCTTGTAAAAATCTGTGGAGCTCTTTTTCTCAGATGTGTTAGTATGGGCATTATTCTTCTTTTTGCTCTCCTGCTGTTTCTTCTTCATTTGCTTTACTGACTCTAAGCTTGAATCTTCCGAAGAATAATCAGTCTCACTGGATAACCCAGATCTGTCCGAGAGGGAGCTTACATCAGACCAAACTGGGGAGGAGATAGTCTTCCAGCCATCTGTCCTCCACTGCTTTGGGTGCTGCTCCGCTAAGGACGTGAGTTTCTGGGAGGCCAAGCTCCCATGAGAGGAGGAAGAAGAAGAGGCAGATAGTGAGCTGAAAACAGATGCCTCTTTAAGGCTCAAGGCAGAAGAGTCCTTGACACAGCTTGAGCTCAGAACTGAGCCCTTATCATCCTCGCTTTCCATGTCCTCACTCTCTGACTCGGATGTGCAGAATTTGTCATTTAGTTTGCCGAACCGCACCTCCTTGCTGGTGTTATTTTTTGTCTCCTTCTTTCTCTTCTTTTTTACTTTACTTTTTTCTTTCTGTTGCTTGGAGGTCATGGCTGCAGATTCCCTGCCCTTGGTGCTGGCAGGTGGTGGAGGCTGCCTTGTTGTGGGCGTTGGGGAAAAACACAAGGTTTGCTCATCCTCATCTGAGCTGTTTGTGTCAGAGAGGATCCGCCGTGCAGTCTTCTTTGGTGTGAGCGAGTTGCTTTTGGAATAGGTTTTGACCTCTTTAGTGATGGAAATGAAGCTGTTAGCTTTGCTCAGCGTGTCCTTGCGGAAATCCTTCTTGAGTAGATGCTTGTCGTCGACTGGGGGAACTCTCTCCTCCTCGTCATCTTCGTCAAACTCATACTCATCCTTCACAGGTGTGGGCGTAGGTTTAGGCTGGTCAAGGTTCTTCCCTTTCAGCTTCAGGCCCTTTTCAAACTCCGAGTCTGTATTATTGCCATCAACAGAACTGGACGGCGCAAACGATGGAGCATCCTCCTCTTCTGAAGATTCTGTGAAGACACATGAAGAAAACGTTTTGGTGATATTATTTGTTCTTTGATATACAATGTATGTTAACATCTGGAGAGAACTGTGCCAATGCTAAGATGCACTTCTCATTCATTATGGATTTTTCTTTCAAACACTATGCATGACAGTACTCTTTGGGAAATCACTATAATAAGAAAACTTTAAATCATATTATTAAATCGTTGTTGAATATTGAGGGATTTGTGTTTTGACTTGAAAAACAGGGCCTTACCCGAAGAACTCTCCTCACTTGAGGTATAAGTGCCTTTTCCTAGCAAGAGATTCAGCATGGTTGGGGAGTTCGCTACTTTTAATGGCGTTTCGCCCTTTCTGTTACTTTGACGAGGGTCCCCTCCATATCGCAAAAGCAGCTTCACCACCTGAAAGATAGATCAAAAAGGAGTTTAGAAAATAGTAAATTAAGACAATCTTTTAAGGATTACATTAAGAAAAACTGACACACCCGTAATGTATAGGAGAAATGACCATTACATAAAGAACTATAATAGTACAGGATATAAGTCAAAGAGTGGGGAATGTTTTTTCTCCAATGGACTACTGACGCACAAAAAAATCACCACAATACAAAATCAATCAAAAATGAACTCAATATTGTTAAGAGTTAGAAATATCTCATCTAATCTATTTCAGTGTTATGACCAGTGGCCGTGGCGATTCTTGTTATATCTGAAGTAAAGGTATGCCACGCACATCTCGTTTTCCAAATTCATGGCTGGTACACAGGTGGTTGCTTGCAAGAAAAAGCCTTGGAAACAACGGCTCGCAGCAGCATCGTATACCAAACAAGGACAAATTTCAATGCATGTTCATTTCACTTGGATCAAGACTAAGGCAATACATTCTTTCTTGGCTAGAGCCACTAATTCCCTCTGAGATTCAACAATAGCTGAAGCACCATCAGTAGTAGGATTACTATTCACTGCTGCTGTAACCTTCTCCAAAATATTACCTTCTTTAGTAGTGCCATGCATAGATGCTAAAGAAAGCAAGTCTTCTGAAATTTCAGAATCAGGTAGAATCCCAGGTAGAAAATTGCTGGATAATACTGATTATTAACACTGCATCATCAATATTAAGCTGCAGAATCTTTTCTGATTTTAATATCTTGGGTCACTCTGGAATTCCATCTGACAGACTGGCAAGATAAGCTTTCACTTTCATAGATAATTTAAGTTTCTCTGAAGCCAGTAAAGCTGTAGGAGAAACACTCTTTAAAAATCCTCCTTTTGGCTGTGGTCAAAGCTTTTTTGGATAGGGTTGCTCACTGCATAATTGACTTGCACAACACTTTCATCTCCTTTCAAGATCTTATTAAAATTGCTTGCTGATTACTGAAGTTCTTTTTAAGTGCTTTTAAGTTGTCTGCATGGAGTTCTCCCTGCAGTTCTTCATATTTAATATACTTTAAGATCTGACGTTGAACAGAAAAGGCTTCTCCATAAATCAAGAAAAGGGGACTGCATTTCACATCCACAATAAACATTGTTTATTACAAAAACACTTCACATCTTTTGCTTGCAGTAGCCTTTTTAAAAATTTAGTGTACATTATTATTTTATACATTCAGTTTACAATTCCTAAAAATTAACGCTGAGATGCAACCGATGTGCAGAACAGTTAGGAGAAAATACCACTTACAGGATTAAAACAGTTGCCAGACGGCATACCATTAACACATTAACATGTAACAATGCATTGCATGCACGGGTACTTTTTAAAAATTTCGAACTGTTAAACCTCCCCAGACTGGAAAAACAAACTATGTACCTTAACCTGTCAGCCCACTGAAAATGACAAGGTGTAGGACTCAGGTGAGTGCCTTTATTGGCTGAGCTCCTTGAGAGGCCCACAAGTACATTCATTAAAATTATGTACTTTCAAAAATACTTTTGATGGTCCAGATGTAATTAAGAAATGGGCTACATCAATTTTGGATCAATGGAGCCAATTGTTTTCCTACTCCATATCTTAAAAATTGCACTATGTGGAAAAATACATTTTCTAATTCATATTTTCATATTTATTTACTATCTATATCTTATTTACTGCTATATCTTCCAATTATCACATCTTTATAAGTTTTCCTGCCTGTCACTTGTATAATCCTGAATAATACAGTGCATCAAAAGAAACCTACTATTATTTTTCTAAATACATGCACAAATACAGCCTAAATTAATCTACCATTTATGACTTCTGATTCTGATTAATCAATCATTTATGACTGACCATGATACACTTAAGAAGTGACTGTTATAAACACTAATTTATGAGGTGACTTAAGCTGTCGAATGCCATGTCTGGTGAAGCAAAAACAGCACAGAAAGAAACCAACATACCTCGCTTATCAAAAGAACACCACTTTTCTTCCACTGGTACAACTAAGGCTTAACTAAGCAATGAGTTCTATTTTTTTTTATTTGATAATTTCCTCAATCTGGAAAACATTTAATATAAAAACATACAAATATGAAATGTATAGCACTGATCTTTTTTCAGTATATTTTGTAATTTTCAGAATCAAAACCACATTTTGGGGTTAAGAGAGTAAGAGGACAGGGAGTATCAAAACTCTTGTTGAAGAGTGGCATCAGAGAGGCAGAAAGGACAAGGACCCAGAATTAACCTTGAGCAGTTATTTGCTCACTCATATATGATCTGTATAGGACTGCTTGTCAAAGACAGGCCACGCCTGGGGACCACAAGTCACAAAACCTTGCCTTGCATGGGCCCTATGACTATAACAGTATGTGCCCTGTAGAGGAGACGTGTTTATCACCAGAATTAATTGACATGTCAAGTGTGTGTAATATGACTGAACTTGCTTCAGAAACGACTGACACTCCAGGAGACTAATTTTGCTGTTGTAGTTACAAGTGATATTATAAGTGATATACATTATAAGTAGTTATAAGCCAGCACCCATATCACCCTGCAACTCACAACTGGCAACCCACTGAAGCTAAGCAGGTGTGAGCCTGGTAAGTACCTGGATGGAAGACCTCCTGGGAAAAACTAAGGCTGCTGCTGGAAGAGGTGTTAGTGGGGCCAACAGGGGGCACTCACCCTGCGGTCCATGTGGGTCCTAATGCCCCAGTATAGTGACGGGGACACTATACTGTAAACAGGCGCTGTCCTTCGGATGAGACGTAAAACAGAGGTCCTGATTCTCTGTGATCATTAAAAATCCCAGGGCGTTTCTCGAAAAGAGTAGGGGTGTAACCCCAGCGTCCTGGCCTAATTTCCCACTGGCCTGCACCAATCCTGGCCTCCTAATAATCCCCATCTATGAATCAGCTACATTACTTTGCTCTCCTCCCCACTGATAGCTGGGGATGATGCCGTCGCATCATCCAGGTGGAGGCTGCACATTGGTGGTGGTGGAGGGGAGTCCCCATTACCTGTAAAGCGCTTTGAGTGGAATGTCCAGAAAAGCGCTATATAAATGTAAGCAATTATTATTATTTCTTTTGATTCGAACTAATCATTTGACACCTATAAACCGACCTTGAAGTGCCCGTTGCTGGACGCGTCATGTAGAGGGGTGTCGTCATCTAAACCTTTTGTGTTGACTTCTGCCCCGGCTGCCAGCAGCTGCTTAGCCACATCATAGTAGCCCCTGTTGCAGGCCTCATGCAGAGCAGTCCAGCCTGAAAATCAGGAATGAAAATAACTGACTGATTCCCACAGCAAAAGATAAGTGCAATAGCAATTGCAACCACTCAGTAACAGCAATTGTAAATTAGCTCCGGCGTAACCAATTGCATTTACACAAGCTAACTAGCCTCCATCTATATTCAATTGCAGTGGTTGAGATGGTTTCAGAATAAAACCAGTACAGTGCATGTACGGTAGGCATCCTCGGCTTTTAACTGCATCTCAAAGCAAAGAGTCAACTATGAGCAACAAGGATCTAGAACAAGACTGATCAGAGAGTCCAAAAGGACTCCAATGGTAACTCTGAAGGGTTTACAGGCCTTTATTTCAAGGACTGATTAGTGTGTATGTATCACAACAATATGCCAATTTCTCCACGAGTCTGGGGTTGTAAAAGCCACTGCTCAGGAAGCCCACACAGTCTTGTTTGAGCACAAAACTCTACCAAGTGCTGAGAAGATTCTGGACTCATGTGGGAAAAAGGTTTTGAGGTCTGATGAAACAAGGAGAGAATGTCCTACCTTAATGTAAAACGTTACATTTGGCAAAAACTTAGTAAAGAAGAACACCCACAAAACACCATCCCAACTGTAAAGCATGGTGGAGGCAGCATTATGTTGCGAGGGTGTTTCTCTACAGACCAAACAGAATTATGGCTGTAATTCAAGCAAAAGGTGCTTCCACCATGTACTAACACACAGGGGTGTGTACTCTAATTTAAGTCATTTTTCTAGAGCTTATTTCTTATTACCTGCAAAGTCTTTTACATTCACGTCAGCTCCCTCACTGATGAGCTCTTTTATCCTGCGTATTTCTCCCCGGATAGCGGCGCGGTGCAGCCTCGTCTCGCCCCTCTCATTGCGTTTATTAACTTTATCTTTGGTTTTTGAGGCAGAGTTTGGCGTTCCCTTCTGACCCAGATTAGACTGCGACGGGTGCTTTGGTGTTGTGTCTATGAGAGAATAAGCAAAAAAAAAATGAAGCTCCTGAATTACAAAACCCATTTAACTATTTAACAAAAGTGGGGCTGCAACACCTCTGCTCACCATTGTGTGGAGCACTTGCACCACAAGTTAATTCACCGAATACAAGATTTTTGGTCCATTTCTGAATAGCTCATACTGTCATGTTTACACATTTAAGCTCATTTGATATCAGTGCAAGTCTATTTTAAAATCTCACCTAATTTGATTGTAGTTATTTCAGAATCCATACACAGTGGTCAAAGTATTTTTCACTGCCTTTTCATTTTTCTTCCAACCCAGTGACAATTGTAAGGCTGCAAACTAAGATGCAATATCAGTACTTAGATGTAACAATGAAATCTGATCTTAAATCTTGTGTAATTTAAAACAAATTAACCAATGTCAGGGTGGTCCTTGGGCAGAGCAGCTGACAGCAGAGGAGAGATGTAAAGGCAGAAAGGGAGATGTAGAGGAGTCTGCTCGCAGGCTGACCTGGACTGTTTACAGATTCCTCAGCAGTCATCTGCATAAGAAGAGCAACCTGCTGACGCTCAGAGAGTGGATAGCCAGCTCGGATTCCTGGCAGCCCCATCCCAAACGCCAAGCCGGACTTCCTGGTGTTGGTGGGTTCCTTTTTAATCCGCTTCCTTTCTGGACCTTGCTTCTCTGTAACGACAAGGGGGAGAGGAAACGGTCACGTCTTCGCAGGCTGCCAGCTGTGCACAGCCCCGGTGGCCCGCCAGTGCCTGAGCTGTTAGAAGTCCACAATCGCAGGCCCTGTGGATTTCCTCTTTCTGCTTAGGCTTAATCTTCAAAAGCAAGAGAACCCTCCTGTCTTTATGCACATCAGATGAACTTCACGTTCGTCACTACAATTCTTTCTCTGAAAAAGTGAATTAAATTGGAAGTTAAAAGTATTAAATGTCTTCATTAGATGAGGCTGCAGGTGCATTACTATAATACAATTGACAAATAAACGTGTACATATAAAACGCAGATACTAAAGCCTAGTTTACAATTTCAATGGCAAAAAGTCCCATTGAACGGCTTCTTAAATTCAAGTTAGAACACTGCTGGCTTAACTATGAAAATATTTGAGTTTAAATCAGAAAGTTCATCCAATAAGGTTAAACAGACAAAATACTTAACTTATATACATAAAGTTAAACTTACAGCAACCACTGAAAATTAACCCATGTCTGTGCTCCTACAAAATAAATCCTGTAGCATTACTGATGTGTATTCTTTCTCGGTCCTTCTTCCTGTTCTCATAACTGAAAAACCAGGTAGATGACTTTCTCCTTCAAGTACACCACAAGGAATTTGTCATTCGGGGTTTGTAAATTAACAAAGCCACAAGTGAAAAACTGATTTCTAAAGAGCTATTCACTCTTATTTCAGTTTCAAAATAGTCACTGTGAAAGACTATTAAAGTATCTTTCACTCGGTATCTTGGTGATCTTCCAGCCCTTTCCACCATCTATCATACGCGTGTTTTGCGTAAAGCAAAATCCATCTGTTCCATCAGAACGCAGATACCGACTCCCCAACTCCAAGACCAACAGATTTAAGTTCTCATTCATACCTGTAACCATATTGTTACTTAACACTTGACGGTCTATGCAAATATGAATGGATATTGTTCCTGTCCTGTTGTTTTTTTTCTTCTGTTCACCTGTACACCAACACTGCTGCTGTAAAACAATTCCCCCCCCGGGATAATAAGGACTCTCTCTAAAGGGACAAGCAGCAGGTATGTACCTATGAATGTTTATTGCTTGTTAGGCTGAAGGTGTGTCTTCATGACAATATGAGAAAGGGCTGGTGTCCATTTTCATGGAAGGACAACAAGACAAAAGCAGCTTTTGGCAATGAAACACCCACTACTGATCATCAGCTCTGGGGTCTGTCCTCCACCTCACATAAAACACTAAAACCATGCAGCCATGGCAATGGTTAATGAGTTCCTAATTCTATATCACATCAGATGATAGTGATACTAATAAAATACAAAATTCTGAATTCTAAATAACGCATCCAAATGCAGAAAATCTGTGCGCTTCTTCTTGAGAACATGAACATCAAGCTGCCTGTTGCAACAGAATAGAGAGAGGATCTGCTCAGGGCTACAAACATAATTAATAAGAGTAAGGAAACATGGCAGAGAATGCTTCCGGTTCCAAACACTTTCCAGGGACCTTCTTCCAAAGTCAAAGCTGATAAACTTTCACTAACATCTGTAAATACTTAGACAAAATGTATCCCCTCCCTCCCCCTTAAATGCATTTGGACAAATTCCTTTTATTCATACTTAAGCAACAGGAACCACAGGAGCAGCCTAAACATGTTTTCAGGCTCTGGGACTTAAGAGGGACAAAAATGCAGTGCTTGTCCATCCTGCCTTCTACAGTGAACTGTGTGTAACATGTCATGCAATAGCTGGGGGTTGACTGGACCTTCTTTGACCAAAGAAAAATAAAGAATAAAAAGATCACAAGATTTCTTCCAAATTGCAAACTCCAGACATTACATTTCGTGATTATTATTAAATGTAGGAAACTAGCAAAGACAAACATCTGCAAAATCAAATTCTAAGCAGGCACAGAACCACCTTTTCAAACAACCACTACTGTAAGACAACCATGTGGGAATGCTGCTGTTCCCCAAACACACAGACACAATCACCCAAAATAATTAGCGCATCCTAGTGCGGTCACAATTCCAATTCCCACTCAATGTTCTCACAAAAACACACACAGGTTTATATACAACTCTTTAAAATAAATTTTAAAACTAATTTCAAATTTACCAAGCTGTAATTATGCACCATGTTTCCTATTGTCTCTGAGCTGTATTCATCTAGTCTGCAAGGTGTTTAAACCAGTTATACTTCAGCTTCTTTGAAAATGACAAACTGTGATCCACTGTGACTCCTAATTACACAGGAGTATTGATTAGGAGAGATACAGCTCTGACTCTGTGATCCACCAGTGTCACATTACAAGACCAGAATAGCAGGAGTACTGGGTCTGTCTAAAGCTGAAGGTACATTAAATGATGATCATAACTGCACATGGTGTTACTGGAATACACAAGTCATATTTCAAAAATATCCCACAATCCTAGTCAAAACATCAATAAAGTAGGGCATTTCCATTAACAAATTCAGATGATCTGCTCATCTTCCCTAACATTAACTTTTCTCTTTCCCCCTTGCCTGATATGTAATAGCCCATATTTATATCTGTTTTAAGAGCAAAATGGAAGGCCCATAATAAGAAAAGGGCAAAATTGCCTTTGATTTGGCAGTTCTACAAGTCTTCCACTTAGTAGTAAGGTAATGAGCGTTCTTACAACTTCCTACATCTTCTGTCAAACTTGCCATTCTTTTACTGTTCATCAAATCATGTAACATTCTGTACATTCACTTACCAAACATCAACTAGAACAAACAAATCTATAAAATCCTCTTTTAAAGCACAATTGAGAACACCTAAAACATATGCAAATCTTTGTGTTCTGCAGTTTTGTTTTTTTACAGTGACATACCTCACTTTAAAACACAATTAGCATTAATTACATTGCGAATAGGTCCCATCGTACCAGAACATATTCATTACCCTCTTGAGAACTTAACTACCATTATAAGACTATTTATTTAAAACATCGCAGTAGTTAATATTGCATATTAGATGCATATGTTTTGTTGAAAACAATACTGTAATGTTGGAGATCTATTTCAATAACTGGAAGTGTAACATGCAGGAGTGAAATGCCACTTAAAACAGGATCTCAGATCACTCATCAACATTACCTGCAAACACTGCTTGAGGGATTGGTATTGTATAAAATCAACCAAAATTAAGGTTAAAGGACATAACGAAATGAAAAAGTAACAAGTGAGAACACTGCTTATTTTGCAAAATCGGAATATCTAATAGCGCTGATCAATGCATAAAGATTGACACTCAAGTCCAGGATAGTTCAAAATCTCAAAATTAAAAACAATATGACTTTGCATTGTAAAATTCTCAAGAGTTAATGCCTATACATATAGTTAAACAAAGTGCAAAATAGACTTCTGTTACAAGTTTCAAAATCCACCGGCAAAAGAAGGTACTTAAAGTCATTCACAATATGTAAATCAATTCACTATCGACAAACATCATATTGTGAAGCATGTACAACCCAGCGACTTACCAACAATAAGAATGTAATTTGAGTCCATACAGAGCTGCTCAAGGCCTATATATCACAGAAAGCAACAGGGAGGAAACATCTATAACCTCTTCATGGCCTCTACTTTTGGTGAAAATGCTGAAATTAAGGATGAATTAAAACAAAGGGTGTGGACTTTGTCCATATTTTTTAACTCTTAAAAGTTTCAGTTTCACTGAGTGGTAACGACTGAGACCTATTTATATTCATTCAGTGCTGACAATTTCTGCTTTTCAGTCAAGTGCATTTCCAGAAAGGAAATGTGGGGGGAAAAAAAACTGCTCATAAGAATACCATAAAACTACATGAACTGCCACTAGTTTTGTCTTGGATACTAGAATGGGTTCTACAGGTAGGGCTAAGATTTAAGACCGCTTAGGGAGTGTACAAAGCAGATAATAGTGCCCACAACAAATTATCATCAAACTACAAAGATAATTATACAAACTACAAACATAATTATAGATGTAAGGTGTTCACACGCTAAAAGGAACAGAGGCATTTAAACTCCACCCACTCTGCACTTTCATCCAATTTCAGTCTTTCAAACAAATTTGCAGTGGTTTTGCCAAACAAAAATACTACAATTGCAGAATAAAACAAATGCAGAAAATTTCTGAATGAAACCCCAAAGTCCAGTCACCTCCACCTTCACACTAGCTTTCACTTCATTAATAAGTCATGCACAGAAGACGCAAAGCAACATATAGGTTCTTGGCTTCTAATGTGTACAAACAGGTTCTTGAAGACACAAAGCAAAAAAAAAAACTATTAGGAACAGATGAGGTTCAGAAGTTTGCATCAACATGAGAATGTTCTGAAATTCCATGTTCACAAGTTCAGATGAAAAATAAATTAAGCAGAAATAACCTTGTGACGTACGATAGAGCCTATTTACCTTGTAATCTTCTTAGTCTTTCTAGTCAAGGTCTCAAAAAAAAACAGCTACCTTTAAGATAAGTATTCAGGCTTATTTATTGCACACCATTCAAAACCAGCAGATCCAGTATGTAGAAAACTTTCATTTAAATAAACATACCTTCACATTCTTTTTGACTTACAGTGCTCCATTCATTTAAAATCAAGAATACATCCCACAACACCGTTTAAGTGTCTACCTCCTCATGGTTCATGGAGAGCAAGCTGGGGTATGCAAAAAGAAATTCCTAATGCAAGAAATTGTACATGGGCAAGAAAGTGATCTTATGTTATGGTGACCTCATTACTTTCAGGCATTAAATTGAACAACTTGAAAAACTAAGTAAAAGTCCAAATGCATTTGTGTTATCAGGTCTCTAGTATTTGGTTTATCACCTGAAAGAAGGAATTAAAGCAGAGGCAGACAGGGCTCTCCCTCACATATTCCCAGTGAGCAAATCTTTCAGCTGCTGCATTCTTAGCAATGTCTCCATCAGCTGTAATCTCTTTTTGGAGACTCTTACTGGCATTGGCACAGACTCTGAAAACCAGACTATAGTGTTCAGCTATTAAAACAAATCTGAACTTCCAGAAGCAATGCACAAAGGAAAGCAAAAAAGCAGAGTACGACCCCTGAAATGCGTTGCTTTCATTTCATCTACAAGAATGGACCTCAGTCCCAATCTTCAGATGGCTGGCCTCTACAGAAGTAGCACACAGAGAATACAGGATGTTTTGTCTGTCCTATGCATCAATACAAAAAGATGTAAAAGATGCAAAAAATGCATTTAATGCCCGTGAAGAGCTGGGGATAGTATTGTCAAGTAGTGGTCCAGGTTCTTGATCCATAAATAGGATTTGAAACCACAACCTTCAAGGGCACTGCTATTGTGCTGTAGAGCAAGGTAATTCACTTAAATTGCGTCAATAAATAAAATGTGATGGTACTTTGTATTACAAAAGATTTTAAAACACTGGTCCTTCCACAATAAACGCTTCATGTTCATCATGATGACAGAGCCTGTATGACAAAATCTGTAAACATTTTCCAAAATAACTATATATATATATTACACACCAGTACACAAGAACTAAAAAGCTGAGAACATTATTCATTACGCATCATCAGAAAAAATGATTCCTGGCAAAGGCAGCAGAAACAAACAGAGCACTAGATGTATAGAGCACACCTTGGAGAGGAGACTGGTCCATCGCAGTCTCATTTAGCCGTAGCTAGCATGTTGCTGGGCCCCAGAGGAAATGACTATGTAAGCTCTAGACAGGCTGGAAAGAAACCAAGAAGGTTGCTTCCACGTAGCCAAGAACCAGACAGCAGGGGCTGTGCCACCGTATCACCTGTTTGAGTATTAGGATCAAAACAGCAGTCCCCCCCCCCCAATAACAATCGTACCTCAAAAGAGTTGCAAGGATGATCAAAATGTCAGCTGTTGTACGCCAAAATAAGTTAATAGAACGAAGTTACAAACAGTGAAGGGTTCAGGCCATTTTAAAAAAGGCTCTTGGCTGCTTGAAAACACTGTAAATTGGAAATGCCGCTAGTTTTTCCTTCTGTGTGGCAATGTGAGTATCTATGAGATCACAGCTCCTGGATATGCAGGCAGAAGCTAATGGAGAGATGCCAAGGTTAGCGCAGCGTGGGCAGCAGCAGTGCAGAACTCATCACCATCGCTTCTGCCTCTCCACTTTACAAATCCTGTCCTTTACGCTGTCACTCTCTACTGCATCAAAAGCGCTCTCAAATCCTGGAGTGGGATACGAGCAAGTCACTAGACAATTGCCAACAAAGACCCTCGCCAACATGCACAAGTTTATTTGTATCCAACTATATTTCCCGAGATGATAATGAACATTGTATTATACCTTGTTTTTCAGCAAAAAAGGAGTCTATTCCAACTTAAGTCAATGCCAAAATCAGCAACAGGATTCGTTGCAGTCTTCCCAGAAGACAAAATGAAAATGGATTAAATTTAGGGGAAAAAGAGCAAATTTTTATAGATCATACTACCATCACATTTATATTCAATAACATAAAGCATCAACCACATACTTTCAAAACAAACAACAATGTAAAGAGACCAAAATGTAAGCAGAAACAAAACTTGCAAAGGGCTAGAAATACATCTAGTTTGGCATTTTAACTAGCTCTTTTTAAAAAGTCTAGGTCCCTAAAATACACTACATCTTGCTACTTTAATAAGACAACTTCCACAATAGCTCTGCTCAAGCAGCCCCCTCTTAAAGCATGCACTAGCCATACCAGCCTTTGTAACAGACATACCAGAAAACTGCAAACTGAGCTCCAAAATGATTTTAAAAATACAGTATTCCAATTCCTGATACCAAAAGGGAGGACTTCACTATTTCTTAAACCAACTTTCTAATAATACAGGGAAGTTAAGGAAGCAACTTCATGGCAATAACCATGTTAAGGAAGCCTATACTCTGGCTCCTTTCAAGAACCAGCCGGACAAAATCCTTGGATCACTTAACTACCAAAGGGCCAGATGAGCCAGAAGACCTCTTGTTTGTAACCATTCATGCATTCTAATAATTAACAAATCTTGTGAGGACTTGGGTGGTTCTGAAATCCGTCAGTGTAGGTGATACAGGATTGTTAATTACATTTTAAATATGCTTCATTTTTCCAGTCTCATTTACTTCCTCCCAAGGTCACAGTCCAGAAAAAAAGCAAAGGATGATGACAGGTAAGAAAATGCGAGTCCCTCTTTTCTTGCACTGAGATCAAATTACAGAGAGATCCATCATAGTAGCCTATAATGCAATTGACCAAATGACCAGAACTTTACTCTATAATGCTTTATTAGCGAGTTATTTAAGACATACATTCCTTTCAGGTTTTCTGTGTAGCCATGTTGAAATGAATTCTGCTATCTTTCGGAAAAAAAATCTCCAGTGCAGAGCTTAAAACAACGGATACCTGAGCTGCAAATTATCTTCAAATCTGACAAAACAACCTAATGCCCTCAGCAGCAAACTGAAATGAAAAGGAAAGGGATGGAATTGGAATACTGTAGCTGGTAAACAACAGACGCACACCAAAAGTAGAAGTGGAGAAGAGTGAGTGTGTGCCACATGGCAGTGCCCACAGAGAAACGAAGAGCCCCAGTAAGGTGTTACAATGAAGAAACCAGAGGAAAGTAAGGCAGTCGTGTTTACCTGAGTGCGGCCTGTGAGCAGAGAGCGAGGCGGCAGCACACTGGTGATCCCAAGCCTCCGAGGACAGGCCGGGGTCAGAATCTATGAGTCCAGTCAGGGAAGAGTGGGGAGGGCAGCAAGCAGACATGCACACAGACACACAACAGCAGCGTTAAGCAAGGACAGCAAGACCAGGGAGGGGCAGAACAGAGACCCGCAAAAAAAAGGGAGAGTGGAGAGGTTTGGGGAGATGGATAGTTTGTGATAGAATTTTGATAGAATTCAACCACATCCCGGTTCAGTTCAGGAGTGATAATGAGGCAACAGCAGAATGAGCAAAAAATATTTGGCAAAATGTATTCCATAATAAATGGATAAACAAAAGCAGAGGTACAAATGGGAAGCAGATGTGGAAAGAAGCACGAGATGCATTGTGTGTGTAGGTTTTTGAGGGGCAAAGAAGCAGAGATTTTGACAGAGAGGAAAACGTGGGACAAAAGAAAAGAGAAAAGTGTTAGATCACTGAGATATATTGTCAATCACTATGGATGAGTTTCAAAAAAGCAGCAGGTGCAATTCACTATTGCATACAATTCGAGAGTGTGTATGAGAATACAAGACAACACAAAATGATGATGTGGAATTTGAAAGCATGAATACTAGCTTAATAGCAAATAACTGAAAATAAACTGCCTATTTTCGGGAAACTGAAATTGCAGCAGACACTTGCATTACAAAGCACCTTAAGACAGGACTGAATTCCCCACAGCATCGTCTCTTAAGATTCTCCAAAATCTAGAGATTAGCTAGCAGTAACTTGTCTTCTACAGATCAACTATCAGCCTGTAGCACACATGCTAGTCCTTTTTGAACAGACACAAAACAGCCATTAAAAAATAAAAAGCAAACTAAAATAATAAAGCCTTCAATAAACACTGGTACATCTGACAGCAAAAGTTAGTAACTGATCTCGGCTCTCTAGCTGCAAATAAAAGCCCTAAATTCAAAACTGATCCAAGAATAATACTACACTTCCATCAGTAAAGTGTAGTGTTTATTGTGCATTTGTGACTCGATCGAAAAGACTGGAGCAGTAGATAGTAAGGCCATAAAAGCAAACTTTAAATAATACTCTGAAGTCAAATCTACCAATTTTGTGTTACAGCCCTTGAAAATGTGGAGCGATCACTGCAGCTAAGAAAAGCAATATAGTTGGTATCTAACAATGCCATTCAGTAAGAGAAAAACACGGAAACTCAAAACATTCACGTAAAGATAAAAATAATTAAAACCGAGGCAGTTCTATAAATTTTAGAAATATAAACATTTTATATTCCCCAAATCTTACAAAAATAAAACAGTGAATATTTAATGAAAGCAGAAAAACAGAGTTTTGAAAACAAAGTCAAGAAGAACCCCGAGTTCACCTCTCTGGAAAAAATCTAGAAAAACAGCATCTTAAGAAATTACCTCCTTTTATTTAAGAACAAACTTTGCATCCATGGTAAGGTAAAGAGAAGGCCAACAATTTTAAAGTCACAATTCAGATGTTTGGTTTACAGCAACCAACCCAATGAACCTGTGGCATTGATATGCTCAGAGGAAACCATGCTATGCTCTCGACACCAGCGTACACAACAAAAGCAGTGTCTAGCCCAGCCCAAAGTGTGTGGACCCTTGCTCTTACCCGAGTCAGAATCCTTCTGGTCTCCATTGGCTCCAACGGTAAAAGGCAGTTTCCTCTTCGGAGCTTTCTCTTTCATCTCTTTTCCTCCATCATTTCGGTCCAGCTTTGGAGTCTTGTTTAAAGAGACTTTATCTTTATCCTACCGAAAACAGTAAAAGGAACAATTGCAAATTAGGATTTCTTACAACCAAATTAATCACAAAACCATACATTTAAAAAAAATATTTTTCCCCAAGAGTGCAGCAGGCCATAACTCCCCCAAAAAATGTTTGGCTTAATATTACGATTCTGGATCATGAGCCTCAAAATACTAAGAACTTAAAGTCACTGCCCCAGACAGTCACAATCTGGATTAGTGACCGTGTTATATTCCAAAACAACTACAAAGATTATCTAAAATAAGTAACAAAATTAAGAAAAAGCAAAGAGCAGTTTTATTTTTTGCTGTCAAACAGGAGAAGCAGTGTTGTTCGTGGAATTCCCCTGCAGCAAGGTCTTGTCTGTCCAAAGATTTCTAGCAATTACAGGATTTGCAGAGCGTGTCTTTTCCATGGAATTTCCTTTCGTCGGTCCCACCACAAACTGCTGAGTCCCAGATGGGAGTGAGTTCTAACCCTGGGCTTTGTGGTCGATAGCAACTGGAAACCTTCAGCACTCCCGGCTATGAATTCATAAGCCAGGTCTGTTTTTATCTGCCAGGTTGTTTTTCATTTTGTCTGTACAATCTCTGTTGCAGGCCTGTTCACAAAAAGAGAGCTTTTGAAAATAAAGCTCAAATGCATAGTGCTGTATGTCACACACACAAAAAACAGATGGGCACACTGTACTACTGCCTAAGTAGGGCCAAAATAAAAATAACTTTTTATATTTCACAATTAACTTCTTTACTCTGGGATTCAGTCCAATAAGGGACAATAAGGTTGTGATTAGGGCTGTGTGGTACAGAAATGCATGCTCCATTGGTTCCACTAGTTTCCAATATGATTAAGATTCAGGAACTGTTCTAAGAAAAGCAATTTTAACGGTCTCACTGTACTTAAGCCAAACAAACACTTCTAGAAAAAAGGAGCCCATTCTTTTGATTGGGGGTCCTAATATTTTGGCCAGCATGCAGGCATTGCTGATGAGTCAAAACTGAACCGAGTTCTACAGTCCAATGGAATTTTACCTTTGAGCTAAGCTGGGAGAAGGACTTACATAAACAGTCTGAACAGCCTCTTTTTAAGATTTAAAAAACTGCATTAAATTAATGAATCTAAATTGCTGAGTTTAGGAAAATAACAGCGAGAAATAATGCTTTAAAATACTGTCTTGAGTTCTTAAGCACTGCTCTTTGAATTACTGGCAGGGAGAGTGGCTTATTGCCCTAGATAAGTCATAAGACTATGATGTCACCGTGTGCACACAGCTCCCTTCCTGTTTCCCTGAGCTGTGCTTGGTACCGTATACAGTACTGAGAGAGCGAGTGAGAGGTCCACGGCATACTGAATTTTGCTTGAAGTACAGAGACCCGAAGACACACAGTTGGGCATGGTGCAGCATAGCTCGCAGAAACAGCCCAAGGAATTACTCGACAGCGCTGAGCTGCAGCCTCGCTGAAAGCTGGCTTCGTGACCAAACGGTGTTTACGGGTTTCCTAGCAACACCCCAGTTCTATTCACGTCTGATGCAATCCACCTCGGAATGCTGTACATACACAAGCCATTTAACAGCACTGCTGACCCGACACAAATCGCCAGACATCATTATTCAGATGCTTAGCTCCAGGTCCCACAGCAGCAAAAACAGCAAACGTACAGAACCATTATGAATCTTAAACTTGCTAAAAAAAAGAAATAAAATATGCACCACAAGGGCCTTGCTCTCCATTTTGCATTAGTGGCTTTGAGCCCCCACTAGAGTTAAAAGTCCAGTTGTGGACAGATGTTGCACATAATAGGGAATCCATGCCAGTAATGTTTCATTTATTAAGGCAGCTTATCCTTTTTCCTGCTGTAACCTGCAGGAAACACCTGTCCTCTACCTACAAGGGATGGGGTCATAAGCTACTAAGGTTTCACCTTTTGGAAGCTTTAGAGTCCTTAGTAAAAATGTCAATTAAAATTAAAACAAGTACTGTCCATAAATTTACCCTTGTTTGAATTACAATATAAACCATCAGATTAAGAAACCATAAAGAACCCTCCCAGACCGCTGTGCACCTTTGTTGAAGATTACCGTGTAGAGATCAACACATTTGTTTTTATCAACATCAAGATGGGGTACATATGACATTAAAGAAGCAGTCAGTCCACTACTACAAAATAAGAGCACCTCTTCTAGGAGAGTGCCTTATATCACTGGCACCAGTCTGTTAACATCAGTCCACTCATAAAGAGTTATTTCCAGTCTAAAAACCACTGCCAAAAATAAGTCTGGTAATCAAACAGGGATTCAAATGGACTAAATCTCTTGGAGAGGTGGGTAAAACGGTGTTAATATTTGTGATCAGTCAGTTTTTTATTTGGCTGCCCTGTCATTTCCCAGTCACCTCTCCTGAGGTACAACAGTAACAATTAGGGCACATTCGATTTTGTACAAGTCAGAGCAAAGGCTCATTTTCACTGTGCATCTCCAAGCCCTGAATATCCAAGACAAAAGCTCTGATTCTCCTGAGAGACTGCTTTCCACTGTAGTAATGAAAAAAACAAACTGTCTGGAATACCCAAGTCAAAAAAGAGTAGGTAGTTGCCTACCTTAGGTGTAGCTTTATTAGGCCTAAAAGAAGGATCTTTAACACTCTCCACCTGGAATGGAGAGGAATGTCTGTGCTTACCTTTTTCCCAGTCTGCTTCTCCACCATGTCGGTGTTGAGTGGGAAATCCTCCAGCTGGGGTGTTTTAGATCCCCCACCCTTGGGCATCATTTAGCTTTCGCCACGCCAACTTCATTCACGGCTCCATCGCATCGTCATCAACCGTCTGCCGGGGGAAAGACAGAATCACGCACTGCTCTTTCGAACTGGGCTTCTCTTGAACGAATTGCAGTTCAGCCACTTTATATCATTTTCAACATTAAAATCCCATCAAGCTCTAACCTCCTGAGCAGTTTGGTATAAATGGCACTACCATTATGCACTAATGTTTTTGTACCATTCTAATTTGCGTGTTCTACTCCGACAAATCTAAATAGCTTGGGCTTACTACTGCATGAGACTGAACAGGGCAGACTCAGGATTAACACTAAAGAGGTTAAAATCTACAATGCAAGCCAACTTACAAAACTGTCAAACTAATACATGTATGTCTTTAAGACTTACTGTACTGCAATTAAAGACTTCAGGCATGAACTCCACTAAAATGATACTTTTTTGCACGACAAATTCAAAACACGTTTCAAAGTACTTAATGTCCATGCAATTTGAAATGGTTTCTTTTTGATCTTACTATATGTACCACAACAGATTTTCCACAACCTCAATGGACTTATTCCAAATATTCACTTTTCATTAACTCAGAGGTTAAGGGTTTTGGCAGTTCTGACATTTTTGAAATATTTCTCCTCCATGAAAAAACTATTTTAAAGGCACTCTGTAATGATTACAGGCACAAATTAACACAGACTGAAAATGAAAGTAGCTGAAACAGATCCTGTCAGATTTGTGCAGACGCAGGTTTCTTTGCAGAGCACAGCAAAAACATCCCCATTTACATGCATATCATCAGGTAAGAGACGGACCACTCTACAACAGCTGGAAAATGTGTATATCAAAAGAAATGGTGTAGTAACATGCTTCGCAGTAACTCAGTCTACAGTTACAAAATCCTATGACCAAAAGAAAAGTAGGCTAACAGCTGAGCACCTTTTGTAGAGGCACAGCAAGCAAGGCAGAAACGGGACTGCTCTGGTACAGAACTCATGTCTTTGTCTCTCCATACTGCTTTATTTTCCCTTTTAAGCAGCAAGAAGCAGCAAGATCACATGCAAGCCACTTGAGTGGAACATGAATAAAAGATATGTAAAGAGTTCCTGAATATTGTTTCATCCACAACACATTTTCTACAGTGTGCAGAGGGCTACAATTTCTTCTGAACCCCCCCCCAGTAAATACTGGCAGTCCACAGCCATGGCGCCGCAACCCCTCCCTCTGCTGTTCTCCTATTCAAAGATGGCTATTTATAACCGAAAGGCAACAACGCACTGTGAAAATTTAATACTTCTCTTACCCGCATGTGGGAAACCGACGCACAGGCCTTCTGCCTCCGACAATTACTGATCTCAAAAGTGACAAAAAAGGTCGGGTCCCAAGAAGCAAAACACACACAAGGCCTGTGCTCTAATTAGGTAGGTTATCCTGAACAAACAAAATTGCAAGCCATGAACTAAAACATAAATAGAACTTCAGTGTAATATTTCAAACGGTAATATTAAATCAACGCAGCCTGTTTTTTTTTTTACTTCAGGAATGGACATAAGTAAATTAAAACTGCAGGATGCAAGCTCCACATTCTCTTGTGAAGAACATGCCTATTATTTGCATCATTCTGAATTCTGTATGTTATCTATTCAAGTTAAGGTCCCCGTATTAATTTGACTTATTAAGTGAAATTAAGTCAATAAGGGGATTTCTTTAATATTGAAGCAACAGCACCCAAGGAGGGAAACTTAACATTTGCAACTTCATTGAATGTTTTGGTAACAAGCTTTCTCAGCGCTCTCTTTTCTCAAAGCGTGTGCAATCAGCTCGTGTCAAACCAGCTCTTTCTGTAACTGATTACGCTCAGAGCTGATAATTCATTCCACATGAATATGTGCGTTAGGTCACCAAAGCACATTACCAGGGCATAGGTCTACCACACCACACAACCAGACGATTGAAAAGAGCTTCCAGTGTATGTTTATATTACCTACTCTTTTATAAGAATTACAGAATAAAACCTTCCTCCATAAAAGTGATTCTTACTGATCATTGGTCACATTCACCCTTATTCTAATTTCATACCCAAAGGAATACAATACGAGGTGAAAACCTCATCCCCGGCCCCCCACGCACATCTCTAACCCTCACTGCTCTCAGCCTAAACATCACAGGAAACATGGATTTTTACACACTGGGCTCCAGACAGACAAGTAATGAAAGCACTGCAGAGGAATCAGGTCTGTTCTCAGGCATGCTGATTGATAAGGGGAGAGGAAGCAACTCATACAAGGGCAACCAGTTTTCCAGTAGTTAGTGTCCATCAGAAAATTGCTTATATAAGTATATACTCCTATAGCATACACATTAAGTAGGGAGCTGCGCCAGCATGCGTAGGCTGCAAAGGAACAGGTACGGTTTATTCCATGCCGAGAGGAAAAGAGAAGATGTTTCGGCTGTGGTGCCTTCTTCAGGTGTGTGGAGGCATGGAATATACCTTTACCTGTTCCTTTGTAAAATACACATGCATTATAGGTATAAATTCTACATTTAGTAGCCCAAGAGTTTACAACACAACTGTGCACAACAAGATGTTTAAAGACAGGCACATGAGAAAGACCACATCACTGCACTGTGACATGCTGCCTCTAGTTTAGAGTTGTATAGGACCTGGGACTATCGTTCTGCAGTGGTGGGCTTTTCTCTTTAAAACCACGGAAACACAACATTGATAAACCTGCCACTTCTTCCACTGAAAACTTTTTGTGCCAAGGAAAATACTCAGCAAAGCACACAAGAAAAAAATTAATGACATATTATAGCTGTGATAGAAAAATCTGACTAAAAGCCTCACTAGCAAAACATCCTGTAGAGTCTAAAACATTTTAATTAGTAGAAATAGTGAAATGTATAAAGTCAACACAAGCTAAAGAAAATAAAAAATGACTTAAGTTATAAACTACCATGTTGAATACATGCGGTCTTTCTCATCTTTGGTCTCAGAGGAATGCCTATACTGGAAATTCAAAATCAATTTACAATATAATTCATTGCAACTAATCCTCAATATTGGCTGCAGTTCATACATCGCAATAACGTGCTAGATCCCAGTTTATTACAAAACCAATATAAACCTCTATTAAAAATAAATAAGTCTTAATAAAAACCGCCTACTGAAAATGTTCAAGGTTTGATTAAATTTGCAAAGTCAAAAGCCCCTTTTGCTGAAGATATGTTGAAGTTTTTCAGTCTTAAATTGTCTTTTGTAAAAGACAACAACAGACAGATGAAGTTCCTATTCTGGTAAATCTCTGAAGGGCCTTTTAATTACAATCAAAATCAACCTACTGCTTTTTCACAAACAACAGGGAGCATTACGGTACAAACATGCTACATGGCAGATCTTGGACACTTTTTAGTTTTATTTTTTTAAAAAGGGAATGTTAAGTTCAATAGATATTGCAAGTGGTCATGATGTAAAGTGAAATATTTTACATTACAGTTCCAATTAGTCCTTAATACAGAATAAATAAATTACATTTATTAAAACAAATGTAAAATGAATGTTGAATTGTTTTAATTCATTACTAGGTTGGAAGTATTGCAGAAACCAAGTAATTCACTTTAAAAAGTAATTGGAGAAAACAACTATGCCTTGAGAACATCTGTGGGCATGAGTTAACTTTTCCATTGCAAGTAGCTTTTATAGAGTTAGGGAACCATGTGACAGATCAATGAAGGTTTCAGAACGTACACTAGACACTGCAGAAGGAAAGCACCTCTTTCAGTCTCCTTCGACACACAGAATAAAGAAATTCCTCATCCCCCTTAACCTTGAATAGAGGATTTAGCATTATTGATTGTTCCAGTAAGACCCAGCAGAGACAATGTGCTGCTAATAGAGCATTGATTACTAATGACAGTGTAAAATATCTTTTTAGAACAAAGTCAGCGTTTCCCCGAGATATTAGATCTTCACACAGCAAATGACATTTTTAAAATGTGCTATAGTTTAGGGAAGTGCGTTATTGGCTCATATCCTCTAAGTGTTCCCTACAGATGAGGAATTCCATGCGCATTAAAATCAGGGTTTACTACACACCCATTTAAGCCACCGTAGAAAGGACTCACAGGACCAGCTATAAAACTAGGAGTGTTGGAGGTTAACTGAAGTAAAATACTGAAGTATAAAAACCTTACTTGATGAGAAACATGAGTTTAAATTAACAGGACACCATAAACCAATTGCATCTAAACTTATAGTTAAGTTTCAAAACATATTTCAGAATAAATATGATCTCACAAAAAAAATAACATGTCAAGTTGCCCGAGGGTGATAGGAAAAGCTTTCCACCACACCTACTGCACAGCAGTTTAGTTGCCCCCACACTGTCTGGGAGCCTCTGTACTCAAGAGAGGCTGGCCCTGCACAACACTTCTCCTGTACTACACGCGCACAGATCTGGGCATGTGCACAGCACCTTCAACATAGACAAGCTGAGGGCCGCTCTGCAAACAAATGTTGCTGTGCACTGCAGGCCTTTCTGTGGTCATGCCACTGCTGGCGTCCTCTCAGTGCGGAGACACAGCACGCACTGTTAGGCATCAGCAGTGATGCAGTTTCTCATGACAGCTCCTGCTGCTGCATTACCATGAGATGAGTACCGCACAGCCCAACTCACTGTCTTCGCCTTCACCGCAGCCAAGTCTCATCACACATACACACACTAAAAAACATGGATGCAAGCTGATGAAATAGCACTACAGAAGCAGGCTAAGCATTAGCACATAGGATGTTTGTTTTGACTGCATAACAAGCAATAAGGCAAAACTGACTTTAACCCAAAGTCCTCAACCCATTTAATAAAGGAACTGAGAAATATAGACTTAAATGCAAACATCTCAGTCCAGCTAAATCTAAATACTAGATGAATGTCAGAGGAACAGCCACCATAGATCTGAATATAAAATCAAGTCCTGCAGGCCATTGTATTCATATTCATGATTACTAGTGGAGCTTCTTTTCTCTACTGAAACTATTTACATTTAATATAAGAAACACCT